CTCCTGGCTCCATCCCAGCTCCTGCACCCCAACACGAGGGCAGCACATCCCCCACTGGAGGCCGAGGCCATGCAGCTGCACCTCGAGGGCTGAAACCTGCCCATGCACCACCTGAGATATTTAAATCATGTCAGGAGGAAGCAAAGAGCACAAATTCCTCCTGGAGCCAGGAACACCTCCAGAGGCAGAGCCTGAATTAAGTCCCATTTCCAGCAGATTTTCTGCCATCACAGTGGATGAAAAACAGGCACTGGGGCTCTGCAGGACCCAGCAGACAGGGAAGTGCCAGTGCCTGAGTCTGAAGCTCGCTGAGAGGGTTTGGTTCTCCTCCTCAATTTTGATCCATTGAGGCCTCGGGCAGGTGCTGCTGCTGCATCCCCTGTGGTGTGACAGGGATGCGGGGGGAGGTCACTCGCACAGGAGGCGGGAGCAGAGCCCGCTGCGGAGCGGGTCCCTTATCTGCTCTCTCGTTATTGCTCCGAACAGCCGGCACCGCCCTCACAGGGCTTCTCTTTCAGCAGAACGGGCCCAGGGACTCGCTCTCGAGGATGAAACACTCCTTATCTCTGCCAGTGCCAGGTTCTGCCCACTACTCAGTGCTGCTCGAGAGGCACTCGCCAGATGGAGGAAAGCAGCGGGCACTTCCATGCAGTGAAACAGAGATCCCAGAGGCACCACATCCACCGTGGGCACAGCTTGTGTGCCTGTGAGGTTTGCATGTGAATTCCCTGGGACACCTGTCCATCAGGAAAAGGCAGCCTGCAAAGCTGGAGGGTGTAGTGGAGCTCAGAAGAGCTGGATGGGGTTGGAAGGGGATGGGGGTCAGCCAGATCGGCAGCACCTCACAGGCCATCAGGCTCAGGGGGACACACAGACCCTGAGGGGCACAAAGAACATCCCTGGGGACACAGCTGTAACCTGGAGTTGCCCAAGGACACCCAGAATGAAAGCAAGAGCAGTGGTCCTTCCTGCTGGCTCCCGAGTCCTGCTCGTACTCATTCCAATGCCAACACCTCACGTTCCCCTTTGACAGCAAAAGCTGCCCAGCAAATGGAAGAAAAAAATCCCAAACCCCAGAGCTGCTGAAGCACTGGGGTCTGCCTCATGCATTATTTTGAAATTCACCTCTTTAAGGGTTCATGCAGGGCACCCCAAGGCTCAGCACTGAGCTCTCCTGAGGTCCAGGAGCCAATGCTGGAATTTGCGTCTGCCTGGGAGAGTGAATTGGGTTGTTCATCTCTCTGACGGGCAGAATAAACACCCTCCACATTGATACTGAGCTCATTTCTGATACTTGTTTAGGGACTTGACAATTCCTGTATAAAAGGATTTCCTTCCACAGCTGAAGTTTGACATTCCTGCATTATTAGATTATTTGCAAAGGTCTGCGTGCGCTGCAGGAAAACAACGCTCCCGCCAGGCAGCATTAGAGCCTGCTCCTGCACAAATCATCCTGGGCACAGCCAGCCACGGAGGCAGAGCCTGTTTGGATCCCCTGGAGCAGCGAAGGAGCAGCCAGGGAGGCAGTGAGTGGGAGCTCAGGTGAGCAAATATAACCCACCCACCCACACCATGACAGCCACAACAGCATCAAAAATAACAGACCCAGCAGGAGAGGGGTTTTTGGGTAGAGGGAACCCTGCTAAAGACACCAGCACCACCATGGGCTCCTTGTGTCACTGCCAGCACAGCCCTGCCCAGCGGCATGACCTGGCTGGGAGAGCAGTGGGAGCATTTCTGGGCAGGGACACGCGGTGTTTTTGTCCCCCCACCTGTTTTGGGATGGTCACAGCCCTGTGTCTGTGGCTCCCCACGCTGGGGAGCCCTGGGAGTCCCAGCACAATGTGGGAAAAGCAGCAGGAACCCCCCACACCCCCAGCACATGGGGGCTTTGGGACTAAAAGACCTCTGCCCAGAGCAGCCCCCTGCACAGGGAAATCTCCAAAGCATAAAATTCAGAAGAAAATGACTTGAAAAGAATTATTTCTTCAGAGAACTCAAGCCCGTTTCCAGGCCATTAACTCCTTCCTCTGCAGAACCCACCGCCAGGTTCCTGATGGAGAGGAGCAATATCACAGGTGTCCATCATTGTGGAACAGTTCCCTCTTTCCAAACAATTAAGCACAAAAAAAATTAAATGTAAAAAAAAAAACAAACAAAAAATACCACAAACAACCAGCCCTTCCGCCTCCAAACAATTTCCTGCCCCAAGAGAAAAGCTTTCCCTGAGAGCAAGGCCTTAAAAGAAAAAAAATATTTTACAAAATCAATAGTGTAAGTGACTTATTTCGCAGCTGATGGTTTGCTCCCAGTGCTGCCAGCCTCTCACTGTATTTAGCACAGCCTCAGTCCCTCCACTGGGATATCAGGAGATGTTCCTCAGACATGATTTACACTCATTTCTCCCCGTTTAGGGAGGCTCAGCCGGGAGCGCAGCTGAAGATGGATTTGGACACACAGTGAGGATGGTTGGTGCCTCTCTCCTGTGGCCAGGGGGAATGCCATCAGCTCCTGCCACTCCCAGCAGGAGGAATCCAGTGCTCCCACCCTCCCTGACACTGCCAGCACTGGGGCTCCCACTGCATGGATGGTGTCACCATCCCTCTCCCTCCCCCTTCCCCAGGACTTGCACCAGCATTTCCCCAGCCCAACCAAACCCCACCAGGGCAAGCACCTCCATGGGGCAGAGGAATCCACAGACTGAGGACAGCATCTCCCTCATCCTGTGCTGCTTTCCTGCTTTTAAATCCTGCTCTGGTGCTCAGCAGTGTTGTGCACTGGTACCGAAGGCTGCAGAGCCCTGATCAGTGCCCTGGCAAAAGGGCATCACAGTCCAGATGTCGGGGTGACAGGCTCATCCCTGCCTGCAGCAGCCACTGCCCACAGCTGGTCTCAGCCTGGGGGATCCCCAGGGGTCAGAGCTCCCCCCATTGCACCCCAGGATCCTGCTGCAGAGGGAGGTGTGAAGCACCACGGGTGCTCTGCTGAACAACACTCTGCCAGCTCCTTTCTCCTGGAGGGCAAGATTCCTCCTTCCCATCACCAGAGTGCCCCATCCATCATGTTCCCTCTAATTACCTTCTCATTTACCTCTTTAATCAAATCTGTTTACAATCAGAGATGAGAAAGCACAGCCCAGGGAGGGGTACAATGGGGAGGGGTCTCTGACCCTGCATGTTTTGCCCTGTGCCGAGGCTGGCCTGGTACTCTGAGAGCAGAGGGGGCAGGGGAGTGTGGCTCAGCACAGTGAGGGCTCACAGAGGAGCCAAGGCCACCAGGCTCCTGTCACCAGTCCCTGCCATCACTCCCAGCATTCCAGAGTCCCACAGGTGCTGCCTGTGGGTTGTGCCAGTCCTGCACCCTCTCCCAAAACCCACATTTAGCTCAAAAGCCAACAGTGATGCTGCTGTTCCATGGCTACAGAACCAGCAGGGTTAAAACAGGGCACAAATCCCCCTGTCTGCAGCCTATGACTGCTTCCTCAAGGAAATCTGGTATTAGCTCCACCTTTTAATCCTCCCTCAATTACAATAACGTCATTCTCCACAACTGCCAAGACTCGGGGTGCCCATCCTCACACCTCCAAGGCTTCTCTGTGCTGCTCAATATGACAGCACAAATGAGCTGGCTAGGAGCAGCACATTAAGCTGAATAATTACCTTAATTAATAACAGTGTGCCCAGCTGGGCCCCCAGCCTCTCCCAAGGACCAAGGCAGAGGATCCAGTGTTTCCCAGCAGTGGGGTGTGGGGCCAGAGTGTGGGTGCATGGCAGGGCCTGCTGTGATTACAGGATCAAAATCAAGTGGGCTCCTTTGGAGCAGTGGGGTTCCTCCCTCTGAAAGGGCTTGGAAATTAGAAGAGAATAACTCGTCACCCACCTTGTAAAAGCCTGATTTGCAGGAACCATCTCTGTGCAAATTCCTCTGCAACATCTGGAGCACCCTCATCCATCACAGGGACAGTGGCTGGGCTGGGTGGGATGAACACTCTGCCATTTCCTAATCCCACAAATTCTTCTTTCAGCTGGGGAACACAATACCCATGGCAAGGCACTCCTGCTCCCCAGGGGCAGCACCACGGCCCTGAGCACTGTGAGGGACAGAGCAGGGGTGGCACCCTGTCCCCAGTCCTGCAGAGGGAACACCACCTCACCTCACAGGATGCTGCTGAGCCCAGGCCCCACCACAGGCTGTGCCTGTTCCCTCTCCTGATCCAGGACAGCACTGACTGCTGGCAGCTGGAGCAGTGCCAGGACCCCTTCCTGCTCCCCAGGGAACCCACACACCACAGCACCACGCTTTTGGTTCCTCCAGCCCCTGTCCCTTGCTGCAAGAGCTTCCAATGTGAGTTCACTGGCACAACCCCCCGTGGCAGTGACCAACATTTCACTCCCAGCAGATGCTGCAGGAGGTTTTCCCCATCTGAGAGGAGCCAACTCAGAGCAGGGATCATGCACTGCACACCCACAGCAGCTCACCAGCTGTGCATGGAAATGATCACATGTACACACACACGTGCAGCAAACAGCAAAACCAGGTTTAAAATGGGCACTCAGATTTATAAACTTACCTTGCCCTTAGGCAATTCACTGAAGTTTTCTCAAGACCTTCCCTGCCTTTTTCTCCCCCACTTCTCACCTGAAGCTGTTCCACATTCACTAAGTCCCCTTTCTGCCCTGCCTCAAACTCTCTGTCTGAGACCCCTCCCTTTCTCCTCAGCTCCTCCAACACAAGCACAGTGTGAGGGCACAGCCAGTTATCTTCCAGGAGAAAACAGAGACCAGCTCTGACCACAACACCACTGGTGTGGAAAGGGAATGATTCCCAAAATCAAGTTAAAACCTAAACACACTTGAAAACTAAAGGAAAAAACACCTCTAAGGAAGCAGATTGAAAAGAGAAGAAAGAAATGAGGAATTTGACAAGTTCTGCACAAAAGAAATATATTTTTGCAGCTTTCTGTGGCTGCTGAAGCCACGACTTCCATGCTGATGCCCTGAACACCAGTGTTCAATAGCACCAGGCCAGCAGTGCCTGTGCAGTGAGGATTGAAGGAAGCCTTTAAGCTTGCCTGACAATGCATTTTTCTTGGAGATAAAAAATGAATGCTGCCAGCATGCAAATCTCTCTAAATTAGGCACGGCCCAGCTTGCAGGAGCCACGATGGCTTGTGATGACAGTCATTAACTTCAGCAGCAGAAAAGAGGATGCAGGAAAATATCCTCTGCTACTTCCCATCCCAGCTGGGAGTCCCGGCTCAGGGAAGCACTGAGTTTGGCACAATGACACCCAAAACCACACTGTGGCTGATGAGAATGAGCTGTGGCCCCTTTCCCTGGGGCAGGCAGGGCCATCCCTCTGCTCTCAGGGACTTGCTGCTGCTCCAAGAGCCAAGCTCCAGGTCCAGGAACCACAACACCGCTTTTCTACTGAACAAGCACAGCCAAGACCAAAAATTGTCAGTGAAAGCAAGGCAATGGAATGTGGGCATGTCACTGCTTACCTCCCCTCACTCTTAGTTCTGGGTAAAACCACAATGGACTCATTCTCTCTTTTCCCTCTGCAGGAGGGAACAGTGACCAGCCTGTGCCAGAACCTAATTTCAATTCCCACTCACCTTTGGGAAGATGTAACAGGAATGGCTGATGTGGCCAATTCCTGGATCTCAGTGCCACTGAAGAAGGGATGAACTGGACACACACCACCACCTCAGCCTCCCTGGTTCCCATCAGAGCAAGGGTTGTACATTTTCATTAATGGATCAGGCTGGAATAACCTGCCAACAGTCTCTCGAGCCAGGCAGGCTTCCTCTCTGCCCTCCCTGCCACACATACATTTGTATTGTTTCACACGGATCCTTGGCAGCTTGATTTAGGGGGGAAAAGATAAAAAAGATGAGAACCTCATGCTGGCTTTGTGCTGGATATGCAGCTGCAGCCCCATTCACAGAACACTGCTCAAATAACAAACCAGCAACTAAAAAAAAAAAAGCAAACTATCTTTAATATCTCCCAAATCCCATTTAGAAGCAGTTTCATAGAAACATCACTTTGATCGTGCAAGAGAGGCTGGAGGAGGGGCAGGAGGAGGGAGGATGGCGCCAGGTCCTTGTGGGCAGACACAGAGGTGTCTCAGAAATTCTCCAGCAGATCCAGGATCCGTTTCTGCTCGCTCTCCCTGAACTCCTGGTTCTTCCCGTCCCCGATGTTCTCCGCGTACTCTGCAGGGAGAGAGAGAGCACAGGGACACGAGCTTTGAGTGCCACAGCAACAAACAAAGGGCCACAACTCCTGCACACACCACAGAGGAATCTACACCCACACTACTGCAAACAGCCACATGGGAATTAATGCAAGGAGCATTGATGGTTTTCCTGCCCATCCCCAGGGTTAAAGCTTTGCATAACAAACACCTGCTGACGCTCATTAAAGCTTCTGTGGCAGACAGACACAGAGAACTCCCTGCTCTGGCCCAAGCAGACAGCAGCACCCAGGAGCACCCATTCCCTGGCATGGGAGTCACGGCATTATGCCAAAGAAATGCCAACAGTACCATAAATCACTGCAGATCACCGGCTTCCCAGGTCCCTTTGGACACTGAGTGTCATCAGGGAAGGTCAGGCGGGGTCTGTGACAGACAGGGGTCTGTGACAACTGTCAATCATTCCCAGCCCTGGGTTTAACCTGCCTCCTGTCCAAGCACCCTGAATGAGGATTTTTGCCCAGGAGACCCAATTCCTCCATCCTCTACCCAGTGCTTTTAACCACACAGAAGAAAAGCCACCAGTTCAGATTTAACTAGAAACTAAACTACTTGTCATCAGGCAGAGGACACCAGGCCCTGACCATGGTCTTGCCCATCCATGCACACGGCCAAACAGCACAGAACTAAACATTCCCTCTGTAGCTCTCCTCCCTGATATTCATTTGGAGCTGGCAGCTCTCATCCCCTACCAGTTCCCTCCTTCCTGCAACCAGAACCTGCATTTTCAAAGACGGTTTAAAAAGAAAATATGAAAAGCAAGTTCTGAGCTGCAGAAGCAAGGAGCTGAACAAATCTGAGGAATCAGGAGCAGGCTGATGGTTAAGACAGCACTTCCCTGCCTCCGCCTGCTTGCATTCTTTCCCTTCTTCCAAACAAACAGAACAGCTTGTATTCAGCACTGAATGGTAAGTTGCTGCAGAAAGTTTGCTTTAATATTTATACATTTAGCACAGCTACACGCTCTGAGCTCCATCAAAGCCTTTGTTACAGGAGCACTGAAAGCAGTGGGGACAGGCAGAAGTTAGCTCATGTGGGAGTCTTCCCTCCTGTGTGTACACACTCTCTCTCTCTCTCCATGTAAAAGCAGTAGAGTTCTTTACCAAGCCTCTGGGAAAAATATTTTTAATATTTATAAATCGCTCCGGTACCTGTAACATGAGCAGGTGGTAATGCTGAGGTTTGGTGCAGGTGAACCTGAGCTGCCCACTGTCCCTGCAAAGGGACCAGATCAGGGCAGCTTCTCTCAGTGTATGAGCTGCTCTGCACAGCTCTTAAAAGCAGCAGAAAGCTCCTGCAAGGAGGGATTTCCTTGTAGCTCCCTGTGTATGGACTGATTGCTGGGAGGCAGCTCAGCCCTGCTGTGCGGGCTCTGGGCTGGGCTGGGGATCCAAACGCAGGCAGGAGATGATCCCAGTGCACAGGGATGGGGTCTCCTTCTTAGCTCAGGCTCCCCTGTCCCCTCAGGCAGTACCAGAGCCTGAGTTCTGGGGCTGCTGGAGGAGCCAGCTCTGTCCCCAGCAGCCCCATCAGGGTAAGTGCCTCTGGAACATGGCAGTGGATGTGAGTGCTGGAGTTCATTGCAGCCCAAGGCAACACTTCCTACCTGCAGTGGCCTCTCCAAGCCCAGGTGAGGGACAGCCATGGTTTCCAAGCCTGGCACAACCAGCAGCTCTGCCCCCAGCTGTAAGGATGGCCAGACTGCTTGGACTAGGGCTGGAGCAGGAGCCACTGAGTGCCACTAATGGCACTGCCCTTCCTTTGTACTGGGAGATCACCCAAACAAAAACAAGACACAAATTCTTCTTATCTTGTCCAAAAGCTCAGCATTTCTCCTTCTAAACATCCACGCTTTGTAAGACTAAAACCCCCGTTAATCTAAAGCAGAATGTTTACTGGGTTATGACAGCTGCTAATGCTCATTTGAAGCATTAGCAGCTTGAAGACACCAGATAAAACCCCCAGAACCAGGCTTAAAAAAGTAAATCTCCAACTGAGATTTTATGTATTTACTTTTTTATTTAAAATTCCACCACTTCACTGAGACTGCTAAAAAAAAATCAAATGTAAGCTGCTCCTGCCAACAGTTAACCAGAGCTTACACACTGCTGTAGCTACACAAAGGGAAAGGGCCCAAGATTGGTTTCTGCTTCATTAGACAAAATACAATGGTTACAGAACAGTAAAAATCAATTGGGAAATACTGAGGCTTGTAATGGATATTGGAAGCTCTGGAGCCTGCACAGATGGAGGCACCGTGAGCCAGACTGAGCTCCATCCTCAGAGCACACTGACCCTTCCGTTGTGTTTACCTGTGCTAACAGGTTTGGGCTGGAATGTGCAGCAGACATCCCACATGCCCAGCTCCCAGTGTGCCTGCTCACCTGACACCAGGTGTGAGGGGGGGCTCAGCAGGAGCAGCTCTGACAGAGCTCCTGAGGTAGCCAGGATCAATGGCAAGTCCCTCTGGATCAGTGAGGAACAGGGAGATTTGCCATTCCAGAGCCAAGTATCACTTCAGAGAAGCCTGTGCCTCACTCCATTCCCAATGACAGATGGAGATCAGGCACCACCCCAAGATACAGACACTGCTGCCATCCCCAATCCAGCCTCCATCCCCAAAACATCTCCCTAGCCAAGGTACACACCACTCAGTTGTTTTCTTCCAAAGCATAAACTAACTGTCCTGTTGCAAGAAATGCTTGATCTTCCAGAAAAAGGAAGTGTGGGAGGACTGGTCAGCCTGCAGAAATGCATTAATGAGCCTCCCATTATTCCCTGCCCACTCCTCCCCCTTGAAAGCTCTACCATAAGAAAACAGTCTCGCTTCCTTGCTTGCATCGTAAGTAATTCTGAGCCACCCCAAGGGATCCATCAGCTGTCAGGTTGCCAGAGAAACATGGAGAATATGTAGGCCATAAAAATCAAACTAAAAACTGAGCATCTAATTAGTATGCAAAAATAGAAAATAAAAACTGAACAAGAGCAAAACACTGAACGAAAAGTAAAAATAAACCAGCCTTCATCTGTCCTGAGAGCAAGTTGGGAAGTAGCCTGGAAACATTTTCCAGCCAAGGCTCAAGCTCCTGATCTCTCAGTCACTTGCAATAAAGTCTTGTGCAGTTGAGTCCAGTGAAGTTTAGGAAGCCCCTTGCTGGCCCAGCATCCCAGCAGCAAACTGCAGGCTCCACATCCAAATCCCTGTTCTAACCCCTTGGCTCCCCTGGGAAGCTGTGTCCAGGGAAGTGACTCCTTCAGAGAACAGGTGCATGTCCCTGCTGCTGCTGCTGTTACAGGCTGGTGAATCTGTGCTGAATGTACATGTGGACACAGGTGTGTAACTACTGAAATGCTCAAATTTCAGAGCCCAGACTGCAGCTGAGCCCAGTGCTACCTCCCAGGTCCCACTGCAGGACTTCACAAGAAATTTATCTACTAAGAAATTTATCACTGAGGTTATGATTATTGTCTTTAAAAGTCTCTAAAACTAGCAAGTTTAAGAGTTGGGGAGGGCTGCAGTCAGAGCCCAAACTCTGTACCCATCCCTGCATTATTAACAAGCCAACATGCCCCTTCAGGCAGGGAACGTGCTGCTGCTGAGAGCTCCAACCCAGCACGACCCTGAGCTTGCAACACCCGATGCAAGCACAGAGAAAGTTTCACAATGCAAGTCACTGTCTGGGAAAGAAAGAATCAGATGAAATTTTAATGCAGCTGCCCTCCAATTCAGCTTGGTATGTAAGTCAACACCCCAGAGCCGTGACCATGAGATGTGCAAATCCAGCAGAGTGTGCAGACAACTCCCCCAGGGACACACGGCCCAGGGCAAGTGTGGGAATCTGAACAGGGATGTGGCCATAGTCCACGTGGGAAAGGGGCAGTTTACAGGCAGGAATTTTTAAGTATCAGAATTAAAATCAGAAAAGACATCCTATGCAGCCCCCCTGCTCAGCAGCAGGCATTAACTTGCACTTCATTGTTAAAGACAAGGGCCAAAGAGATTGCCTATAGCTGCAGGTAATTTCACACTGTCAGAAAATCACTCTTGATTTTGTCATAGCAGCCAGCCCTCTGATTCCTTTTTTCCTGCATATGAGAAGGGAGAAAACCGACAGGTTTTGCAGGAAATAAGCCATGTGCACCTGCCATTGTTGAAGTGGGGGCAAGAAAAGCCCAGGAGAACATTGTTGCTCCCCAAGAAAGCAGAAACACTGAAATACAGCCCACTATCCCAGAAATGCTGTCAAGCTTCCCTTCCCTCCAGAAGAAAAATAGACTCTTCTCCTCACACTGAAAACAACACAGCCCCTTTGCAGCAGATACATTCCATAAGGAAGCATCTTCTCCAGGCAGCTCTGGTTCCCTGCTGCTCTCACTAAGCCTCTCAGCTCTGAGGGGCCATGGGAAGAGGCTGAGTCCTGTCCTTCTGTCCCCCAGTTCCACTGGCTGCTGTTGCTGAAGGACAGCAGGCTGCAAAGGAGGGCTACAGCTCAAACAGGCATTGCTCTAATTCACTATGAGCATTAAAAATAACAAGCAGTACTTTAAAACTGGGATTGCAAATCACAACAGCTACATTTTAAAGCTATGGAGGATACTTTAATGCTATAATCCCTATTAATTTGACACTAAGAACAAGACAAATACACCACGGGTACTAATATGGTGCAGATGGTAAAGTGCAAGGCCATGTTAATGAAAGATGAGACTCCACTATTCTTCCCTCTAGCAGGCATGTGCACTTCCCTTAGATATTTACTCTCACGTTAATGTCAGCAGTGAATTCCAGCCAGGCTGGAGCTGATGGAAGCGTGCAGTGATGTGCTGCTCTCTGACAGCAGCTGCAGCAAGTGTCCTAACTGGGAGGCAAAGCAAAGCACACCACTAATCAGGGTGATTCCTGCCCTGCCAGGATCTCAGAGCACTGCTCAGCTGCTGCCTGGAGATGATCAGGAAGTCAGGGAGAATTACATGTGAAGGCTCAGCCTGCAAAGCCATGACCAAGCTGTCCCTGGTAGTGATGAGACACTTGCACAAAAATATCACTACTCACCCTTCAGGATGTGTCGAACAATTTTAATGGAGCTGCCTCTCATGTTCAGGATCTGGTGGACTCTCTGACGAATCTGATGGAGAGTAGGACAGAGAAGAAAGAGATTTTCAACATGAGTCCATGCACAGCCCCACTTTTTCCCACTTAGAGGGATAAACAGAGACCTGAGCACCACAAAAACCAACTCAGTCTTGGCAGCCCTCAGCATCTGCTCAGGAACACCAAGGAAGGCACACGGCACAGAAATAAGAAGCCAGAATGCATTCACAAACCCCAATGTATTCACAGAGGAAGCAGAGATGCAGCATTTTGCACACATCAAGAAAAGCTGTAGCTGTGCTTTTGTGAGACCTCCTGAGAGCAGGTCCCTTCCCCCTGCTCCCTCAGCAATGGCATCAACATGGCCTTTCCATTTCAAACCCTGACCTTGCTCACACTGATTATATGAATTTAGTGACAGCAATCAACTTCTGTCCCCACTAATGCCCTATCTGCTGCAACTTGATGGAGCTGTATGGACACAAGTGCAATAAACAGGAGGTTTCCTCCCGAAAAGGAAATTAGAGAAACAATTACTCAACGCAGCATTTGCAAAGATTTAGAGCCTTGTCTGCACCATGAATGCAAACAGAGATGTTCTGCCAGCCTTGTAGGCAGCTTTACCTGGGGAACATTGGCATTACAGATCTCTGCCATGATGTAACAGATGAGCTGCAGCACAAAGAGCCCAGCATCCAGACGACGGAGATAGAATTCATCTTCCATGTCATCGTCTATGATCTCTCCTCGACGCACCATGTCCTGTAAAGCCACACAAAGGAAAGGTGTGAGGATTTCTTCAGAGCACTTCCCATCAGGAGCGGCAAAATGTTGGTGGAATTTGTGATTTCTTAAGAATTGTTTTGTTCCCCCAAACATTATCAGACACATATTTCTCGCCGAAGTATTTTTAATAATTCATTTAAATTCACAAAACATTTCATTCCGTTTTGAAGAAGTTTTGCCTTTGCTGGTCATGAAGTGTGTCGATCTGCAAGTCAAAATTTTAATTTAAACATACAAATCACATTTCTACATTGAGGGGTGAGAGTGTGTGACTATGGAACAGACCCATGTATCCGTGATTTACAACTTCTTTGTCAGAATAGAACAAAACCTGCTCTTTTACTGGCCATCTGAGGGTGCTGTTCAGCAGTGCAGAACATGACTCCAGCACACTCTAAGAGCTATCAGCCTTCTAGCTTCATGATTGACTGACACATGAGAAAACACATCTGGAAATTCTGCTTTTCTGTACCCAGCCAGGCTCTTCCAGCTGTTTCTAAGGGGTGCTGCCAGGGCAGACCCAGGACAGGGTTTTTTAGCCAAAGACTCCCATGGGAATGATGACCCACCATCAATCCTTCTTCTGTATACATGAGTTTCACCAGAGAGACCTGCCCAGAGGGAGGCCAGAGGAAGAATGAAAGAGGCCATTCCATCCCTCCATTCCATTCCATCCCTCATGGCCAGAGAGCTCATCTTCTTCAAAACACTGCCAAGAGCCACCCAGCAGCAAGCCCAGAGCAGCCTCCTCTGAGCTGGCCCCAGGCTGTGCCTGTGCTCCATCCTCATGAGGACTGACAGGCCCAAACAACTGTGTCACATGTCACCTTCTGCATTTTGGGGTTTGTCTTCAGGATTTGCTCTTAAACAAAGGAAGCAGCTCTGATTTATTGTGCAGCAGTTGGCAGGTGGGCGCACACCACCAGAGCAATATTTCCTCATTAGAGCCATCACCTGCAACACTCCGCAGGATGCGCCTCCTCAGGTGCATGTGCTCCAGGAACCCAGGCACCAGCACCAAAGCTGACTGAGGATGCCAAATTTTGCTGTTGTGTCAAGCCAAGCCCTCACACCTCGTGGTGAGTTGAGGGGTTTAGCAGTAAGAAGGAAAATGAGCCCTGTGCAATTGTCCCTGAGGGAGGGCAATGGATGCTCCCCGGATAGAAATCTGATGGAGTGACTTAGACAGCTGATTCTCACTTCCTCTTGAAAGAGAGAGGAAAGCTTTGGTAGTGGAATACTTCTCCTTTCCTCCTAGAAATCCAGTCTGCCAGTAAAAGAACAAGTTTAGAAGGCAGTACCTTCTTAATTGTGTTGTGACATCAACTGCTTTGGCTACACTAAGATGTGACGCTTTAGCATCAGATCCTGATGACTCCAACACATGCATGACTGTCATTTACTCCAGGTTCTCAAAATCATAGGCACAGGCATGACTGGGCAAAGCCTGCATGTGAACTCTTGCCAGTAAATAGAAAAATCTAATTTTGTGCAGAGAGTGACTTCCCTCACCCTAAATCCATGCCAAATGGCTCAAATCTGGTCTCTAAAGCTGAATAATGATGAGTCTGGCTAGTGAGAGAGCTGAACACTGACTGAATTATCTAAAAAAAACTCAAGAAAGACAACACACTCACTCTTGTACCACTGCTCATACTCTGCACTACACACAGGCTCATTGGCTGCTCTGCTCAACAGTGCTAAATTCCTGAGCAGAAAAACATCCACAGGCCAGGACTCTGAATCTCCAGAGCAAGAAACAAAAGCCAGGTCTGCTCTGTATTCTGATCCGAGCACAGTGATCACAGGAGCTGGATCCAGGCAGCCGCGGTCTCCATGACACAGCGGTGGCGGCTCCAACAGCCCCTCTCAGCAGAGATTATTTTGTGCCAGTAAATTAAGCAGATATGAATTAGAAGACAAGTACAGTTTTAAGGTGCCTTTTCACAGTCCTTTTTTTTTAAAACCACAGCCACCCTTTCAGTGCTAGTCTGCCTGCAGTACAGTAGCTAGCAGCCCCTTTCCCACTTGGGCTCTCTTTCAAAGCTGTCAGTCGCTAACCTCCAAATGAGCGCTCAGGTGCCATTTCTAATCTGCCAGCAATATGTGCTGAGATGCCCCTTGCTGATGGGAGAAGACAGCAATAAGATGGGCTTCTGTGAAGCTAAAATGAGCTTCTCTCACACTAATGAGGCAGGACTGACAGGCCTCGAGGTGTCAGGTAGAGACTCCAAGCCTAAAGATGCGATGGATGTGCCAGTGCTGTACCAAAAATCACACTGTTCCACACAGGCACTGGAGGAGATTTCTGCATCCTCCTCCCTCCTCATCTATCACTCAACTTCCAGCACACACTGCACAGCTGGGCAGAGTAAAAGGATACTGACCAAGCACAAAGAACACCTCCAGGATCTTGGTTTTACACCTTCACCACGTGGAACAGCAAGGCCAATCCAGGTGGGCAGAAATGAGCACGTGCACTAGAACAACCACCACAACATGTCTCTCACTCTAAGGATGGAGTCTCTCCCCTTACTACTTTCAAGTCTGTATTACTGGGGAGAGCTGAGGGATGCAAGACATGCTCAGGAAGGGCCTTCAGACCACAGGCTCAGAGCCACACTCACAGCCATCATGTCCTGCCCTCAGCACAGCTCCAAACAATTCGGTCTTTCTACACCAAACTGAAAGGATGGGCTGACACAAATCCCCACCTGTTATCCCCACCTGTGGATACCTCACTCATCCTAGGAGTTCCACTTCTTTCTCTCAAGCATGGAGTGGCTGAGCTGTACCACAATTAGCATGTAATTTGTAAGTCATTATAGCACAAAGTGTCTGGTGAGAATATTTTATTGAATAAACCTGATGAGCATAATTTTCCGTGGAACTATAAAAATATTAAACTATCTCTTGTCATTTCCTACCATCTTTAGAGATCATCAAGGCTATTGCTGCCACCCATAATTATACCTCATTTTAGAGAGAGGTAAAGGCCACAGGATGTTGCACTGTTTCCTACAGAAATAATTAAAGAAATTGAGAGGAGAACAAGATATTTTCATTAACTAAAATCTCTGAGAAAAGTGCTAAGATGGGCATCAGGTGTTGGAGACAATGCTCTCATGGACTTTGCTCCTGGGTTTCCCATGGCAATTATGATAATCACCAAGTTATCACCTCTGAACCTTTCTGAACAGATTCCACTGAAGCAAACAAAGGGGTAACACTAAGAAGGGGCTCAATGACCTCATCCTGTTTCACAATCTAAATCAGGGTGTCACAATCTAAATCAGGGTGCAGATTATTACAACTGTTCCTCCTCAAAACAGCTGGCTTCAGAAACTCCTCCCCTCCCTCCCACCCTCAACTATTCCCCTACCATCACTGCCATGGACTGAAAAGCAGGGCTATAAACCAAATCACTAAAATAAGCCAAGCTAAAAGAAATAAAAAGGAGGAGAACTACAAGAGCAGAAACTTCTTATGCCAGCTGCACTACTAAAGATAAAGCACTCAGTCATTCCTTGTGTAAGCAGCTTTTCACTCCTTGTAATGCAAGACTTACACCAGGATACTCTGTCCATCAGACTCAGATCTCAGTCTTGCTAGTGTAGGCTGAACCTGTAAAATCTCACCAAGTTTCATTTTTCCATGGAGCAGGGAAAAATGTGAGCATCTTTATACCACATTTTTGGGGTACCATGTCCTCTACTGCAAGGGAAAGGTTAAAAGCCCCCCCCCAGTGACAAAACACCATTTCTAAAGTGTTCATACAATCCACCTCAGTGATTCATGTGCCACAACAAGGAACAGTAAAGTGTCCCATAAATCCTGTCACAGCCAGACAATGCCATGATGTGACAGACAGAATGATGGCTTTTGCCTATTTCTATGAGGGGAAAACACTTGAGCAACTTCAGATCTCAGGAGACCATGTCCCACTGACCATCTGATGATGCTACAAAATAAAGCAAATGATAATTCTCCAAAAGTGTTCCAAGCTAGGAATGAACTTGAATATCATATTTTATACATGTTGTGGTAAATATGTTGCACCCATGAGATCCTTCTGCCAAATCCTATAATTAGTTCTAATAGAAGGTAAAGAATTGAGGTCCATTTATTTTGGATACAGGAGGAGAATCTGACATTCCTTAGTTTTACTTCTCTTATGCATTTAGTAGACACGAATGGGTTAATATTATTAATTGAAAAGCTTCCACAAAAGCATCTTCACACTCAAATTCCCTCCACTCCTTTCTGCTGGCTGTTTGCTACAGATGTTAACGTTTGCAGGCTGCTCCAGGGTGTTCCTGGATAAAGGGCACATACCCTTGCTCTGCACGTGGTATTTTAGGGCTCTGTACAAGCAGCTCCAACTACAAAGCTTCAACTGAAAAAATCCAATCTGGTTTTTGAGTTCTAAAGCCCCCACACCAACGCCAAAGCATAAAGAATAAATAATTTCTCACCCTGTCCTGAGGAGGAGGGACAGAGCACGGAAGGCAAGCAGGAAAGGGTAAACGCTGTTTTCCTCCAGGCCACCGCTCAGTAGTGCCGCTGCCCATATGGAGCCTGAGTGCTGGCAGCAAAAGCAGCTCCATTCATCACTCACTCCCGTGCCTCTTTGAGCAGCAGCAGTGCCCTGATGCCCTCGGAATGTTTGGCAGTGCCTGGAGAAGCAGCCTTGGCAGCGGGCAGGCAGCTGTTTGTCGGGGCCTGGCGGGGGGCGGCTGCCCGTGGCACGCAGAGCGCGGCGCGCGCGACGGCAGCTGCGGCCATCGCTCTCCGTCAGTGCTAATCAATCTCACACCCTCCCCAGCACTGATACAGATAATCTTGTGGGAAGCTCGCCAAGCTGGCTAACAGCTCTGCAAGCTGCTTCCTGACTCCAGCCGCTCCCTTTCAAAAGGTCTGTTCCAGCCTCAGTTCCAAGAAAGTGCTGTGCGGTACCAAGGCTCATGTCACTCAAACGTTCACTGCTGGTGTGCAGAGAGCACACAGCCCTTGGCTGCTCCTCAGCCAACTCATCAACACAGGCACTTTCTCATTGCTGATCACAACTCTGCAGACCAGGGTAGGAGGCCTCACACATTATCATGTAATTGTCTCTCCGCATTTCACCTGCTCTCCATCTGCCAAACCAAGCAGGACTGCAGCCAGGTAAAAGTGAAGGCAAATTGGAGCACAGACACACTTAGGTACTTCTAGTACAATTCACTCTAAGAGACAGCCAGAAGCACTTGTAGAGAAATTCTTGGCCCACTTTACCTGAGGTTACCTGTAACTTGGAAAGTGAGGCAATAGGAATTAAGAGGAACAGCACAGGTATGAGGGCACACCTGAGAACAGTGACTGACTGAGCCAGAAGTCCTGTACAGATGACATGGCTGTGCAGAGGTGTTACAGACATGACCTGGCAAAACTTAAGCAATACATACGTGTTTCTCCCCATCAATCTTCTTATCAGCTGCCTGCATTGCATCCAGGTACTTAAAATACAGTTCCATCAGCCTATCAACCTGCAAGGGCAGAAGACAGAGACATAAGCAGGAAAGAAAGAGCAATGCAATCATCTTTAATTCTTCATGCAATTTTGTTTTCCTCTCAGCTTCAGCCTTCACAAAGCAACAGGCAGCTCTGTCCCTCCTGGGAAGGAACATGTTACAGAAGGAGGGTACAAGTGCTGGTTGGATGAGCACGCTGGGGCTGCAGGCTTTTGGATGTCATCCTATATGGGAACACAGTCCCATCAGTGCCAGATAAATGGCAGCAAACAGGCACGTGTCCCCAGCTCATTCTCTGTGCTGTGGTCCTCCAGGCTCCTGGTTTCCCCAGTGGACTTGTCTATCTGTGCTGGATGTTCCAGCTCTCCCACTCTCCTCTGAATTGTGTTAGGGCAGCTGAAATCCTGTCTAGTAATTATCTACAATTGGTAGAACAGGTTATGAAAAACACCTTTAAAACACACTAATGAGGAATACTAAGGAACTAGTATTTTCCCAGTGGCAGAATTTACAAACCCCTTGGGATCCCTCGTTTGCAAAAGCTATTTCTTTTCTGCAAAGCTTTGATCTATCCACCACCATGTAAATATTTTGGGAAGAATTTCCCTGAGCAAACACCACTAAAATGAAACATTCTAGGAGAAGAGTGGAGAACGTTAAATGTGTACCATAGCAACTGCTAAACTCTCTGCAAAAGAGCTTCACCAGACACACTGGCACCTTTCCACACTGTCCTGATCTCAGAGCCAGCACGATGTAAAACTGCAGATTGTCTTCTAGGGCCAGGTTTCAGCAGAGACACAACCCAAGAGAGAATTGTCACTCCCATATGCAAGGGCACCAGAAAACAAGAGCACAGGGGATGTGCAGGCCACGCACTAAATGTTTTGCAGTTTGTAGATACAATGTGAATGAGAGAACAAAGGTCTGTGACAGCAGAAGTCTCTGCAGGCAGGTAGGAGGATGGTTTTTCTTGCACCCTGGGCAAGAACCCTCCCAACCTGGCAGCCCAGAGACTGAGCCACATTCAGCACTCACCTTCTCACTGTCATTCTCTGTGAATTTATTCAGTAACCGTGTCCTCTGCTGCCCTCTCAGGTTTCGCAGAAGGGAAGCCAAGATGGAACAGACATGTTCTAGAAATACAAAATGAAAACTGCAGCCTGAGATCAGGAAGAGGAGCTTATTTCCCTCTGTAACAAGCCATTAAATTCACTATTAACACTCCAGCACGTTGATAAGCAGAACCCTGGTTCCTTCCCATCACGGTGAGAGGAGAGAGAGCAGCAGTGAGAGACACAAGCCATGTTTGCAGGGAGCAGAGACAGCTCCTCATTCCAGCCCCAGTGAGGTCTCCTCCTCCTCTGCCTCAGGGACCTAAAGCACCTTACATAGTGCACAAGTTTCACTCTGGTTTTCTCCTCTTTTGTGGCTAAAGGAGCCCTGGCAAAAACCAGCACCCAAATGACCCTCAAGTCACCAAAGCAGGGACAGCTACTGAAACAAGAGAGCTAGAGAAAGGGAATAAGTGCACTCCTGCAGAGACTGAAGAGGTATGAGCTAGTGGAAAAATTCTCAAACCAACCACTTTCATTTAAAGAAAGTCCCATCAATGAATATAAATGGGCCACAACAAACCAGAAACGACCAAATAAACATGTTTACAGTCTTCTCAATTGCACTTGGGGGTCATATTTTTCAGCACAAACCAAGGAGACAAGTAAAATTCAAGGCTGCAAGCCCACAGGAGACACTTGTGTCAATGTCTCACCACTGTGAGAGGTGACTGAGCCACTCTCCTCAAGCCCAAGCACAGCAGTGCAAAGCAAAGGAGAAGGGCGTGAATCTCCTTCCCTTTCCAAACCAGTCAGTACAACTTCCCTCCAGCATGACTGCATCAAGCACAGACCTGCTGGTTTAGCCAACCTAGCTTTTCCAAGATGTCCTCACTGTAATCTTGCTGGTTAAGACTGATGAAAATTAATGGCCATACACAGTTCCTCAGCCATGGTGCTAGGGAGCAATGAGGCCTCAAGATTTGACATTTTCAGAGGGGGAAAAACAGCGTGCAGAGGAGAGAGATCACCATCTCATTGCTGTCACACCATGCATTTCCTCAGCACTGCCCAGCCCAGAGCCACGAGCAGCCCTGATTGATCAGTCCAGCACAAAGAACCAGTGCCACCATCACATTTGCTGGGAGCTCCTGCTCCCAAATACTTGGGTTCTGGAAGGTGAAGGCAGGCAGGCTGCCTGGCCAGGGTGCCTGCGCTCCCTGCTGCACGGATTATCTGCATCCTGCACAAGGGCAGCACCACGAGAGGCTGCACAGGCACACCAACACCCCCCTTTTCATTAGCTGCTTATAAATGGAGCTTCCTTTTCGAAACAGATTTCTGCCTGAGGTGGTGTCAATTTTTCATGTTGCAAGGAGATTGGGAGCGTGGCTGGCAGGAGGAGCAGCAGATAACAGGTTTATCGGGCGGCCGCACGGCGCGGCTGCTCCGTCATTCCGACAGCCCCACGGGGCTCAGCGATGGCTCGGGGGTGGCAGAGCACGCTCCCACTGCACACAAACTGCTACTCCACTAAAAGCTACACCAAATTAACTGTTGACATTAAAAGCACTGTAAAATCCTTCAAGTTCTGGCAAGTTTTCATTTTCTTAAGGAGAAAGAAATTCAACAAAATGAATTTTTTTTTTCTTTTTTTCCCCATATATGCCAACATATGCTCCGCTGGTTTAGGAAGAAGTCAGCGTTCTGTATGTCACACTATTTTTTCCCCCCAACCTTCTTTTTTTGGAAGTGTTGATGCAGCATTTTTGTAGCAGTATTCTCACCAATGATCTATCTTCATTGCTTTTTTCCAATATTCCTTTACTAGGAAATGTATTTTAGCTATCATTTTTGCTTTGGTGGTTGTATGCAGATATTTATCCATTTTATCAATAAAATCTTTAAAACTACTGACAAGTCTAAAGGAGCTGACACAGAGGTTTTGAGAACAAGGTTGTTCTTTCAACATTTCACTGCACAAAATCCAGGAAATACTGTTGCCTAGTCAAAATGTTCAAAGAAATATTTTACAGAAATATTTCTGAACTATCTAAACTGGTTTTTGATCAGCTTCCTGAAAAATAACACACAAGTGTATTTTATGTCACACCCCAAAATCAAGGTTATGTCTGATAATGCAAGGCCTGTCCCAATAAATACCAACATCCACAGGCAAGGACACTGGCCAAAATGAGGGCAAAGCTTGATGGAATGAGAGGCTGAGTCCTTAATTCAGTGGATTAAAGTGTTTGCACAGTCATGGGAAGGGAGAAACACGAACCTTGGGGTGCACGTTCCCACAGATGGGGTCTCACCATTTTACCATGGACTGACCCAATCTCCATCTCACATGAGCAACATTTTAAAAGCTGTAATCACAATATTTGCTCAGGGTTGGATCTCCTTTGGGAAATAGTGAGTTGTTGATGCTGTTTTGAGTCCCCAGAACACAGAACCTGCAGCTGCCTGGCTTTGATCTCAGTGCAGACAGAGGCCATGAGCTGTGCATTGCCCCAGGGTGAAGCCACAGGCAGCCTCCCTGCTTCAGAATATTCTGGGAGCTTCTCCATAGGAATGTAACACTCAGTCAAAGTCCCTGCACAAAAGGCATCACTTCCAGGGAGGGCACAGACAAGGCCAGAGGCAGACGCTGCAGAAGAGCCCCATTTCAAAGAATGAATAAATGTGATTCCTTTGAGAAGCAAACACCAAACCAAGCTGTGCTGAAGCACCACAAAGGTGCCTCCACAGAAATAACAGGTACCAGCTGGCAGCTACTATGCATCAAGAACAACTTTTTTCATGCAAACATCCCAAAAATCCCCTAAATTCATGGATGTGGGAAGATGGAAGGCTTCTGTCTCACCAGCCAGCAGCACTGCTGCTGCCCCATGGCTGGCTCACCTGCAAGCCCTGCCACTCCCCACGCTCCCAACCCTGCAGGGCACCATCCCAGACACACCCCTGGCTCTAGGAGGTCACATTCCATGTGCTTCCTGCAGCAGCACCAGGGTCCTGCCTGGCCCAGCATCACCTCAAGCTCTTGGGAGCCTTTCCCTCTCCAGACAGGCACAGAGGCTTCAGCATGCAAGCAGTGTTTAAAACACCCTAATTAGATCGATCTTGACTTCAGCTCGGCGTGTTGGAATACAGATTAATCTATTCCATGGCTGGCACTGGCAGCTGCAACAGCAGGAGGTCCTGTCAAATCAAGCTGTAACACTACACTCCTCTGCCTTTATTATCCCCACCCCCTGCTTTTTTTTTTTTTTTTTTCTTTTTACATCTCATTATAATGGACATCTGCCTGGCAGGGGAGGAAGCTCAACAGTGAGGAAGAGGAGGCAAGCATCATCCTGCAGGAAGGGGTCAGTGGGCAGTTCTGGATGCCAGGGACAGCAGCCCGTTGGAGGCCAAGCAGGATGATGTCATGAACCCAGTAGAACATATTTAAGAGCCTTCTGTCTTGTAAAGAACACTTAAAATAAAATGTAGTTTCTAATTAGAAGCAGGAAAATACCAGAAAAAAGCCAGCCAGCTCTTTGAGATACTTCTACCCCTCCTAGGCACAAAACTCTGTGGCTTCAGGGCTGCTTCAGGGAAACCTGGATGAAGCCACGGGTCCATGCCAGCATTACAGGTGGCACTGGGACATGCCATTCCATTGGTGTAGCATCTGATAACCTGACTTGTTGCCACGTGCATTAATAATCTACCTTTCAGAAGAGTAACCCACTCAAGTATCACTGCATTTTGCCAAGAAAAATCTTATCTTAAAATACTGAGAACAAGCAAGAAACACCAATTTTATGGATGGGTGAAGGGGGGGCCTGGGAGGGTTGGAAAAGCTCCACATGCAACAGCCCTGGTGAGCTGGATGCAGTCATCAAGCTGAACGTAAAACAAAATTCTTTCTATTGACTGAGAAAGTTTATTTTTCTGATGTTCTTGCAACAGAGCACGCTCACTTTAATTGAGATAAATTTAACTCTGTTCTCAGCATCATGGCTCACTCAAATCACAGGTTCCTGTCAGAGGGTGATGGTGAAATAACAAATTGGCATAATAAAGTTCTGCTTAAACAGACTGATGCCTTCCCTGGGTGCTCACTCCTCAAGACCACCAAAAGAAAAACATTTTGTGCTGGCTGGCAGAGGGTGCTGAGTTAATACCAATAACTCCTTATCAGGCCACGTTTCTGCTGCTGCCTTTTCACTTCCCCACGCCCAGGGAACCTGGCTCTGAGGCAGACATTCATTCCAAGGGCTCTGCTGCCTTTAGTGCATGTCACAAAGGACTAAGAGTATATTTACTAAGAAATGGGTTTTGTTGTTGTTTTTAAAGGGAGGGTGTAGCTGAGGAGCTCCAAAAGAGGCTTTGTTATTGACAGAGGGCAAACGAGCAAAACACCCCAGCAATAGGAATTCTCCTTTGGAAACTGGCTGAACTAATTCTCAGGTTATCAAATTAAGCATTCCTAAGTAAAACCGACATCTAAGACAAGAGAAGGCTTTTAAATGAAGATGAATTGGACAAACATCCTTTTATAGTTCATTACACTCTCCAAGTGAGCAAAACTCAGCTGCAAATAACCATCCTGAGAAAGAGCAGGAGGATATACAGCCTGTCGAGCCAGCTATGATTGCTTCACTACAGACTCTCTAATTCAGGAGGAATTTGTGTTTTCTCCATTTTTAGCTCACTGAGACTGTTCAAGAATTTTAAACCAGCATCCAATGCTGTGACTTGACTGTGCTGAGAGCTGCTGCACCCTCATGGACAGGGGGACACCCCAACTCTCAGCTCTGCAGCAGGAAGGTTTTTGCAATGTAGATGCTTATATAGCAACCCCCACTTTTCAAAAGCCACAACACAGAAGTGTTATTTAAAATCTTACCCTCTATTTATGCCAAGAACCACCCAGAGGCAGATTTCTGTGCACTCCCTGCAATCACAGATATTAAAGGGACACTGCTGTTCAACCAGCTCACAATACACAACCACAACACCTCCTACACAGCTTTGTGGCTGTCCAACCCAGCTGGGCACACACATGAGTACTGCAAATCCACAGACACAGGAGAACTCTAAACCATTTCTGTCTTCAGCTGCAAAATATTTCTGCTCTGAGTTGCTTCACTGCCTCAGAAAAAGGGAAATTGCTTCCAATGAGTTTTTTCTCCCAAATCTAATATCCTAATATAATGATCTGTACAAACACAGGCAAAATTGAAGTGTAGATAATGGGCACTCAGTTAGACACCACAGGCCCAATCTTCAGGCTCAGATCATCCATAAAGATGGTTAAGAAATTTTCCCTTTCTTTTTTCCTAATTACATAGTGTACATAAAGCATAAATATGTGCAGTTTGGATTTAAATTGTTCACAGGCTCCCTAGAGTAAAATAATTTTTAAACACTGACAGTGTTTAAAATGTAGCTAACCAGCACTGACACCTTTATGCTAGCATTTAGAAAGGAAGAAATACATTACAGAGGAGTTACTTTTATCAAATTTAATTTGGATTATAAATTTCTGCAATAAATAAAAGCTCAGAAAGTCACATTGAGATTTTTTTTTTCACTGGGGTATTTATTATTTTGTCACATTCAGAACACTGCCTTAGAGACAATAAAACAAACATGGTTTTATAGACTATCTCTTATGTAAATAGCAACACTGCTATAAAATAAAGACAAGGGGATATTTTCCTACAAGCATCAAATACATACAGAAGATTTGGTGCTCTGGAGATTGAGCATTGGATGTACTGGGAGAGGTGAAGCACCTGGAGCCACAGTGGGTGCCAGGAGCCCCAGCCTGGTGGCACTTCAGCCACTGCACACAAAGGGACGGACAGAGGGACAGGCAGGACAAACCCTCTAGCAGAGCTGTTTGGAACCTCACCCAGGGCTGGAGCATTTTAGCCAGGCTGGCCTTTAGGCAGCTGTAATTAGGGCCCAGGTTTCAGAGCCCACTGAGGATTTTGTGTTTTACAGCACAGCCTGGGGTGCCCTGCCCAGCTCCATCCCAGCAGCAATGCAGAGAGGGCAAGCACAGCCCAGCTCCTCACAGCTGCTGCAAATAAACACTGATGCCACTGCTGCAAAGCCATCCCAAAGAATCCTTTAAAGGAATCTCTTCCTCCATTTGACATACACATGAAAGCTCTCCTAAAACAACATTGTTCTAATTAATTTTTTTAAAACAGATTGAACACAGGATAAAGTTTTTATGAGAAAAGATGCAGACTGAATATGAGAGTTCCTTTTGATCAATAAACAAAAGAGATAAGCAAAAAGCAGCATGTTCCTAGGACCAGAACAGCACAGAGGGAACCAGTTCCATCATGCCACACCTGCACCATTTCCCTTAAGGCCAGAGGCACCCAGGAGGCTGTGCCAGGCTCCCCCCAGGAGCAGCTACTGCATGGTTGGGGCAACAGTGAGCAGAGTAAAGCACACACTGTGCTGCTTACACCGTGTCAGGACAGGCTGACAGCCCCCAGGGAACCCTGCTGAACATCTCTATTACCTCCTGTCGTTAGAAATTCACTAACTCACCCGCCCAGTGATGCAAAACAAAGAAAATTGGACTTACTACCACAGCCTTTTAGGGAGAGTTTATTTTAATAGAACTGATTTCTGGACTCATCTTAATGTTCTCCATTTCTTCAGCATGATAATGAGACGGAGATGTGATACAAAACCTGTTTGCATGGATCACTTCACTCTCCTGAGGCCAGATTGCCTTTTCATGCTATCACAGAAATAGTCAGGAACTGACCCTGTCAGAGCTTTCCAGACTAATCCTCACAGCAGCCAGGACTGCCCACAGGTATCAACTGCAGTCTCCAGAAGAAGCATATGAGACAGAGATTAGCTCACTTTCCAAAACTGAAAAATTAAGTCAATGGCATGAACCACAGACTCAGACTCTACCCAGAACCTCCCATTCCAGCTTTGTCTCAGTAAGAAGAATTAAACAAACCTCATTTTCACACTGCAAATGAAATTTTTTAAACTTCCCCTAAATCCATTGAAGCATAACTGTGTATTTTATTACACAAACCTGCAATTTTATTACATAACCTACAGAAACCAAACCTAGCTCTGCAAGTCCATTGAATAAACCCCAGGCCACAATTTCCCCCTCACCATTATCTATCCAAGACAAGCAACACAAGGCAGATAAAAGCAACCAGAACTGTCAGCAGGTGTGTGAATTGCTCTGGGGTTGGTGACAGGTGAGCCCCAGCTCTCCACCTGTGCCAGGAAAGCAGCCACTGCCACACATGCCCAGTCCATGCCACTGCCCATTCCTTGTCCTCAGGAGGGAGGACAAGCAGCTCTGCCAGACAAAGGAGCTGCTCAGTCCCAGCCAGCACCCAGAGAGCTCTGCAGGGACAGCACCTCCCTCCTGGCCTTGGGAGAACACCTGAGTCCCACCTGAGCTGCCAGGACAGTCCCAAAGCAGGGGATTTGGGTTTCAAACTCACATGTTTTTGCTATTTCCTTCCACTTTCCCTTGGCTTGCTGCAGGAGTTCAGGATGGATCCTAAGTGTATGTGTACCTCTTCAGCTTTTGACAATATTCACCCTCTGTAGAACTGAGCTGAGCAATGAACTGGCACAAAACCTTAAGCATCACTGGCAGTATTTAAAGTTTCTTCCATAGTCTATTTTGTTTCCCAACAAAATGGGAAAGGCAGTGTAACCAGGAGCAGGAGGGACTGACCACTGAGCTCAGTGTAAGGTCCCACAGTGATAGGAGCTTTACTCCACAGATCTCTGTTAAAGCAGTTTTCCAGGATAGAGAGTTAAAAAATATAAAAAGGAGAAAAAAAGCAACTTCAAAAGCAATGCAGTTTATTTCTGCAATGCCTGATGTTCATCCAGTCACACTTCAGTGCTCAGAGCCATGAAAACACTGCTTTTGAGGTGACATTTGTAGTTGCCTCATTACTCTTTTCAAAAGAGTTTTGCATCAGAGTAAGAGCTTCAAACAACAGACTCTACAGGAGTAAAATAACTTATTAACAGCACATGAAATGGAATTGCCAGGAGCTGCTGATACCAAAACAAGCAGGACAAGTGTGCCCTCAACAGCCAGCTGTGACAGGAGCAGCAGGCTGGACACCCAGAGCTGAAAGAAGATGGGTGCTGTGCTCATCCCTCCTCCCTGCAGGTACTTTTCAGACACTGGCTGTCCATTCTCCGTTGCAATAAGAAGGATCTGGAAGCACACCTACCTTCGTGTTCTTTTTCAGTTGTTCCAACCTTCTTTATCTTTTTGGGTGATTTCATGAAGAGAGGGAAGATGGTTCTCAGCCCAAGGATGTCCACAAACTTGTGACAGTTGTCAGTGCCCTCTGGTCCGATCATGGCGTGGTCCAGCACCTTCAGGGCACTGCTGCGGGAAATCTTCTTCTCTCTGTGGAAAGAGGCAAAGGAAATTGCAAAGGGACACAAGGAGCTTTGGAGCACCCTGCTTTACACAGACAAGGAAATGAACACGATGGGACAAGATGAAGAGTCTGAGCACAAGCTCTAAGCAAGATTTCTCTTCTAGAAACCAAAACATTGTATCAACAGTAACTCTTTTCAAAACTGTGGCTGAGAATATTGTCTTGGTTATTTCTTTTTTAATGTCTTTTATTTCTTTTTATTTTCTGTTTTTATTTCATTTTATGGATTTTATTGTCATGGTTTTATTTTCTTATTTCTTGGCTACTGAAGAAGATATTTTTCTCACTCCTTTACAAACACTGGCACAAAACAGAAGGGGAGGCTGGGTTGGATAAAAAAGGCAAACACTATCTCCAAAAAGATCAGGATTGCAATCTAATAACAGTTTAATTTAATAAAGGAGTAAGTTTGGTGAGCACAGCTGGGTCAGTTTTAATGGAATTCCATCACCAGGAGCCACACAATGGAAGGAGGCTGACAGACTCTGGGCTGCTCTGCTTTAATGCCAGTTCAGAATGTTGATGGTGGTAACTCACACCAGTAACACAGGGATGCCCTGAAAATGATCTCCAGCTGCCCTGTACCTCACAAACCAAACCAGAGGAATTTATAATCCATCCAGGGGAAAAGTGAAACTGAACTGAAAAACTGCTCAATAACAGCCCAGACCAAGTGAGTACCAGGAGGAGCTAACAGGAGCTTGGAGACCATAAGCCACAGTGTCCCCAAAGGCCAGCCTAGGAGGACATTCCCTCCAGGACAGGACAGTCACAAGCCTCAAACCTTTCACCCCAAGCACATGCCAATCCCCTCTGATCCTGCCCAGCTGCAGACTGAGCCACCAGGACCCCATGTCCATCAGCAGGGGCTCCTCAGAGCCTCCAGAGAGCTGTGGAAAACAACTTCCCTGCAGAGACACAACTTCATGAGCCCCTAACAACAGGCAAACTAAAATACCTATATATGAACACCCCAGAATGAAAGAAAGTGACCCTGCCCAGAGCAGCCCTAGGCACTTCTGACCCCATGGTTGGGGGGCAGAGTGTGGAGCTGGACCCTGAATTCCCCCAGCAACCAAGGGCTGTGCAGGAGGGTGGTTTGGCACCTCCTCATCCCCACTACAGAGAGCTAAAAATAAAGTACTCCTTAGGCCAGATGACACCAGAAATGTTTCCAGGGGAAGTAATTGCATATTGATCAGCATTTAGGAAGGCTGTGCAGGGCTGAGCTCTGGAATATTCATTGGGTTTAAGTTCAGGCTTTTAGAGATCAATAGCTGCTTGCCTGGACTGTCTGGAGTTGATTTTATTTGAAATATTTATTCTGCCAGAGGGCAAGCAGTTTATCTTAGTCTCATCTGTGCTCATTGAAGGAACTTTTAGCTGAACACTAATTCACAGACAAGCAAACATGAGAATCACCAAATACTGAGGGGCCTCAGTGTTCATGGAAACTCTGAATTACAACTTTATTCACTGACCATTGTTTTCCTCCTTTTAACATCTTTACATCTGAGACAATTCTTTTGATACATCTACTTTTTTTAAAAAAGAGGTGCTGACATTATTTGTACTTTACATATTAGCCTTTAACTTTCCAAAATCCCAGTACAAGCAGAACACTAGATTTCCTGGGAAAGTGTGCATAAAATAGTTATGTTCCATTAGTTAGGTTAAAATAGTTAGGTTCCATTTAATTAACCAGAAGATTTAGTAAAGAGACAGCTTATGTTTCCAGGGGTCATTAGGAACAGCAGGACAAGAAAACATAAAAATATTTTAATAATGATTAAAAAAATCTAGCCTGAAATAGCTACAGAAAAGCTTTGGGGAGCCATATGGAGTTGTCTGGTTTCACCTTGTTTTCTGTACAGGAGACAAAAGTTTTATTGAGGGTCAAGAAAAGTCCCAGCATAGCTGCAGGACAGAACCTTTTGTGGCCCAAGTGCTGCAGGTCCCCATGAGCTCCCTGGGCTCTGTTTGTCTCTGTGCATACACATGCTCCTCAGTTCATAGCTGGGAAAGCCACACATCATTTTCCCTGAGCAACAGAGAATGTCCCTGACACATCCCCTGGGAGTGACAGGGCTGCATCTCCTCAAACCCCACACAGCTCTACAGCCAAAGCAATAACTGCCTGTCAGTGCACCAGGAGCTGACAGGACAAGCCTGCTTTCCTCTCTTTTGGCTAAACTGCAGTCAGGTTACTAAGGCAGGACTGAGGGAATGAGCACTAAGATGTACTTTCTGAACAAAAAAGAAAATGTAGTTTAATTCTAAGGGACATTTCTAAACTTTCTGCTGGTGGCTGCTACCTTGATAAACCATCTTGGTTTTGATAAAGATGTGACATTAAATAAATGGTGTAGAGATGTAAATTAAATAATTATATATAGCCCTGCTCTCATTCTACTTCCAAATTTCCTCCTTCTCTCCTGCTGTCACCAGCTTCATCCCTCTCGACCTGCTCTTCTCCCAGACCCTGTGCTCACCTCCCATTACCTGCTTGGTGAAGCCCCAATTCCTTCAGGGCCAGCTGAAGTCCCAGACCACAGCACAAGTCCAGGACATGCACATAAGGCACATCAGCCACACTGGGCTCATTTTCAGGCATTACCACTGACCCCACATAAACCAGGAGAAGTTCACATGATACAACATTGCCTTTTGCTGTTGGCTACACATTTTAAGGCTCAGTACAACAGAAACCATCCTGCTCTCATGACTATCTGTAGGAATATCATGAGCACATTAAATGCTCATTGAAAGCTGCTGCAGCTCTCTGCAGGTGTGTGTGCACAACCATCAATAATGGAACGACTTGGCTGGATGGATCGGGCAGCACCAGACACAGAATGCTGTGTTCCCCACGACAGTAATGGAGATTCCAGTCTGATATCTTTATTCTCACACAGCTTATCTATCTCACATCATGTCAATACACTTTCAACTTTGCCCATTTGTCCTTTCATCTGCACAGGCTGTGGTACAGTGATTTACCACCTCCAAAGTAAAACCAAAAAACAACAGATCTCTGCCCCCGGCCTTCAGAGGACACCAACAGGAGAGAAAAATACTCTGCCTTGTTTGTGGGCAAGGTGGTCAATCACAACTGAAAGGCATGTCTGCTCTCTGCTGTTTGTCATGGAGGTATCAAGGAGATACAGATGTACTGCAGCTTCAGATCACAACTATCCACATTCACTCCCTATTTACAACAGATTGTGGTCACCTAAGTTGCTCTGTCCAAGAAAAACTGAGCAACTATGAGACCTTCTAAGCACTACAACTAGATTAGAAGAATTTAAAAAATATAAAATAATCAGGTGTCAGTACAGTACATGCCTGTGGACAGTAGGGACAGAAGCTTCTTGAACAAATTCTGTGAATTGTTAGTTTTTTTCCACGGTCACTTTACCAATCCCACACAAATTGTAGAATCCACAGATTGAGGCCTTGGAAACTCTGTCTATCAGACTTTGTCCCTCCCAACCCCTTTGCAACTACTACAGGGGGCAAAATGCAGCCAAGGAGAAATTTTCCACTTGTCATAATTTTCCAGCTGAAGTCCTGTGCAAAGAGTGGTAAACAGTAGAGTCAAAAAATGGGTAAAAAGCTCTTAAAAATCCAAATACTGAATCCCACCCACATGGCACAAGAACTCCAACTAATTAGTTCTGCAAGGCTGGTTCAGCAGCTCAGGACTGCAGGCAGAGGGAGGCCTCCCTCCCGTTCTTAGTTTTGGAGCTTTTCCTTAATTAGCCTCAAGAAAACCCAGTGTTCCTATTTGAATAATCCATGTTGGGTTATTTATTCAGTTCCCTGCTGCCACACATTCCCCAGCCCTGAGCTGCAGGAGCTCAGCATTCCTGGCTGGTGTTTGCTAACCCACCAGCACACAGCCTGGCACTCTGGGGACAGCCAGACAGAGCCTGCTGTGCCCTCCTGCAGCTCTGGGGAGCCAGACAGCCCAGCAGACTCAGCTCAGTGCCAGCCCAGCATGGAAAAGTGGAGAGAGAGAAGAGAAATCCCAGAGGTTCAGGGTGTGAAAAAGCACAGCACAAGAAATGCAAACCTATGCCCCATTCACAAAAGTAATTTTTGTATCAGCATCCACAAAAATTCAGCAGCTCAGAGGCTCCACAACACAGTAGAGCCTAGGATGGGGAACAAAAGGAAAAATGTTTTCCCCAGAGATATCCAAAGGTCCTCTCCTGCCCTCACAGAGGTTGTTCAAATCCTCAGAGGGTTTACTTGACCTACAGCATTCTCTGTGGCAGACACCCAGATGAAAGATCTGCAACTTTCCAGCAGCCACTGTGGCAACCTCAGTTCTTAGGAAATGAAGACAAAGAGTGGAGATTCCATATCTGAGAAAATCCAATTTACTTACCTGCTGGAAAAAAACAGAAAGAGAGGACAGACAAATATCCTAACACAGAAGTTTTAAAATAAAACCACAAATATCTAGCTGGAATATGCATTGGCACATCAAAAGCAGGAAGGAAATCACAAGGCTAATGAGGTACCTGAGCATCAGGTTCATCAGCTGCAGACCCTCACCCTTCAGGAAGCGATCACGGTTGGAGCTGAGCATGAGGCAGGAGCAGAGGGAGTCAAACAGGTTCTCCATCATTTCCTGTTCCTCTGCTGTGCTTGGATTGTGTCGTTTAAACACCTGAAGGACAAAGAAAGCAAAATCACCCCCAGATGCTGGGCTGTGCTGTTGCAGAACACACATGAAGAGTTTGCACCAAAAGCTCCAGCACTGACAGGGGTCAGCCAGTGATCTCACAGGTCACTGCTGCATCCTCTGCAGCTGCTGCCCTTTGCTGCCCTGACTGTGCACCCACAAATGTGCAGCAGCCTGGTGCAGGATTTAAAGGATGACACACAGGGCCTGCAAGGGGAATGGCAAATTCACGCTCAAGCATGTGAGTAAGCTGATTACCAGAGATTCCTACACAATTCATACCTGAGGGTGCTGCAGGCAGCACTGCCTGAAGAAACAGAGGTGAGCAAGCAACACACCACCTTCAGCCAGCTCAAACATGGGCAGCCCTGTGCTTGGAGTGGAGTGCTGAGGATGGACCAATTCCAACCCTGCCTACCTCCAACTCTCCATGAAACAATAATGTAATAATTTAACTTCCATGCACCTCAGCATTAACACCTTTACAAAAGGGATTCATCTCACTGACCATGGATGACACACCACATGGAAGCTATTTGGGGACCATGCCTCACCAAACATGAAGCACTGCTAGGACAGCACCCCGGGCATTTTGCACTCCTCCCACCCAGCCCAGCAGTCTCCTGATGGAAGAGAAGGCATGTGGGAATTACTCACAGATAACTGCTGAAGCAGCACATCGATCCCATCCAGCTCCCCAAGCAATTCTCTGTTGTCTAGACGGAGGTGGGGGGAAGGGGGAAAAGAGAGAGAAAAATGAAGCTAACTGTCAGATTTTACAGCCATCTAACACTGATACATCAGCAAACAAAATCAATACAGCTTGACAGAGCACAAAAGCTGCAGAGAAAGAGAGGGTGGAGATGAGGGAGCACATAGGGGAGAGTTAAGGCAGCAAAGGAGAGCTGGAGGCAGAAAAGGGCTGCTGTGATCTGAGAGAAGCCTGGATTCTGCCCTCACTGACAGAGATACGGCAGGCATGGCTCACCATCATTATTCTGGAGCAGAATCGCCAGCACCTCACTGCAGTACAGCTTGTTGGCATCAAAAGGCATCTTAGCCTGTGAGGGAAGGAACGAGAGACCCATCAGGGCATGGCCCTCAGCATCTCATTGATTTGAAGAACACATTAATCAAATCACCAAATGTATGAGCAGCACACAAAATAAAACACAACTGCAGTAATTCTGCAGTTTTCCTCAGTGACAGAATAGTAACAATTCTGATTCAGGGTGATGGGAGGTGCTTGTGGGTTCATGCACACATGTAGAAGGTCCACTGTGATTCTTCACATGGTCCTACATCAGTAGGTTTGGGCAAGTTGGCTCAAAACCCCTAAGAACAGTCTCCAGCAGTTTGCCACACAGAATCTCTTTCCTGTGATATATTTCCCCCAATGTTAAGTGGGTGCATGGCACTTATCTCTGTTCTGGAAGTCAGTGCCTGTCAGCCAAACCAGAATTTCAGAACATACATCCCAATAACATCATATAGTAACTGCCAGTTTCCTGTGAGGATCAGAGTGTCACAGTCAGAAGAACATGAGATGGGTTTTGCCTGCACAATCACATAACTTCCATTTCAGATATCCCCTCCATCCTCAAATATGCTAAAAAAGTCATAATGAAACGAAAATGCTGAATTTGAACCCCTCAAAAAATCCCTAGAGTGGATTCTGAACTGGATCCAATGTTTTTGTATGCTGCCAAAGCTGCTTCATCTACAGAAACAGACTGAACATTAACCAATTAGATAATAATGCAACCTGTTTTACTGAGAGATTCATAAAATAAAACAAATTGAAAAATCATCAGTTACCAGCTATTTATACTCCACTTTTCAAGAAGGGAAAAAGCAGAAGTCCTAGGCTTAAAACATAGCATTTGTCACCCAGTTTTCTCCCCAAACACACAACTCCCTGCAGCACAGTGGACAGTCCTGCCTATGCAGGGCTGCTGGGCCAATCATCCCACCCTTCTGCCAAGGAACAAAGCATGGTGTGCAAGCACCAGGCAACACATGGAAACATGTAAAGCAAGAAGATCCCAAACACCACCAAGTATGGACTTGAAATAAAGCTTTTCATTCCAAATGATCCTCAACCCCCCTGCAGAGGATGGCATTGACAGCAGCCAGGTGACACCTCCAGGCAGACCATGAGGGAGGGGGAAGGTGCTCGGTGCTGTACAGCCGTGCCAGCTTCTGCCATGGGGTGACCCACTGCCGCCCTGCAAATGCTGGGAAACAACATTCTGATCTCCTAAGACTGCACACATCATCAAACCCTGCTTGTGTTTGCAGAAGTGAGCTATGAGCTCTCCACCTGAGCCTTCTGATGCAGCTCTGACAGTCACAATACAATTATAAGACCTGAAATGTTGTCAGAAAACAAAGCCATGCTCTGTACTGTGTGCCAGATGTCCTCATCACTGCTCAGACAGAACCCTGATCTTAAAACTTATCCCAGAGACATTCCACAGCAGCTCTACCCAGCTGCTGAGATCCTGGGTTAATCCCAAACACATCTGTCAGGGAGAGAGATTCAAGACCAAGCACTGCCAAGAGCCAAAGCACCTGGAGAGGGGTTTGTTAGCTACCCACAACCCTGTACAGGCAAGATCCTACATCCCAAATCCAGGGATAACACAGCCAGGGAACACATCAGACACACCCTACACAAGCTTGGAATGCCATTGAGCATTCATGTTCTGTGGCACCAAGCAGGGGAATCCTAGCTGGGATTATTTTGCTTTCCCAAGTTTTTCAGTCTTTCAGCTGCCACAGCAATTCCAAGGCAGGCAGCAGTACCTACCTGCCAAGACTAAAATTAACTTCACTTTTTATTTTTAAGCAAAGAACATAATTATGTTACTACCTGTAGAGAGAAATTACAGATTACTTCTGCTAACAAGGATGTGAAGTGCACAGAGGGGTACCTGCACTTACACAGCTGATGGAGAATTTCTGCAACTCAGAGGCTTTCTAATCATGCAGACATTTAAGCATGGAAGTGCTAATGCCTTACTGACAGGTTAGAGAACAGCCAGAATTTCTTTGCTATATTTCCTTTAGCATTTCTGTGACAGGGCTGAACTATCCATTCTTTTTCTACAGCATTTTTCCAGTGAATATTTAGGGATTTTTTTACACAAGACAGAGTTAAAGTGTGCAACTCGCTGTCAAAGGATGCAGAGTATGAAAAGCAGTTTTTAATTTAAAAGGCAATTAGCTGAGTTCAAAGCAAAAACCACCCCCAGAAGCATTTAAACACAGACATCACTTAAAACTCAGAAATTGTTAGAAATGTGGGAAGCCAAGACCAGAAAATGGTTAATATTGGTGTCCCCTCTCACTGGTCAGCTTTCATAGTTCTACAGAACTCACATGTGGAAATTCAACATATATGAATCATATGAAAAGATAAAAGAGACAACTTCTACTGCAAGACATTTATAAAGACAAAATTCAAGTGTGTCTCTTTAAACTAAAATTACTGAGGATATAGACCCTGAACTATTCACTTTTTACCTTTAACTGGGCTTTTACAACACATGCAAGCACAACTGGCTTTTCTTAAACTAGTTTTTGTGCTAACTGGTCTGTAGAAGTGAGAAACCAGCTCACCTTCAGCCTCTTGAGCAGCCACTGCATGAGGCCCTGCTGTGCAGCCTCCGTGCACATCTCCGGCCTGAACTCTGCCATGTTCTCCACGATTCCTGGCAAGAAAGACACAGAAAACTGATGGTTCTCCCCACCAAAAACTACAAATCTCTTGTTTCCAGGCTCTCTCATTCTTATAGCCCTGGGAGATTACAACCCCAAAGGACTACAAGGAGAGGGTGATGGTGTGACTGCCAACAGTGGGACCACCCTGCAATGGTTCTGTGCTGTGCAGATCAGGCAGCAGAGGGCCAGTTATGTCCTTCCATGAATTGCAAATGTTTTACTACCTGAAAGTTAAATATATTACTAAAACAGAAACAAAGTATAGCTCACAGATATGTTCATAGTAAATACATGGACAGTGGAGCACTTTCCTGGAGGTTTTTAAAAGCTGTGTAGATGTGGCACTTTGGGACATGGTTTAGTGGTGGCCTTGGCTGTGCTGGGTTAATAGCTGGACTCAGTGATCTTAGAGAGCTTTACCAACCCAAACAGTTCTGTGATTGCCTCTGGTGCAGTGATCCATGTATCTGCACCTCCCAACACAGCTGGTTTGGCAAGAGACATCTTTCATGCACCCATGGGACAAAGAACAAACTCTGGTTCCAGGGGGGAGTGATTCCAAGCTGTGCTTGAATAAAAGCTGTACCAGATCCTGTACTGCAGTGCTGGCAGTCCAAGAGAAAAAGAGGAGGGGGGAAAGGAAGGGGTAACTCACACCCCTTGGCACAAACCACAGAAAGAAGCAAGGGGCTGTGCAGCAGCCACTTACCCAGGGTGTTGTGGACACCATCAGCCTCCTCCTTCACACTTTCATCCAGGCGCTCTAAATTCTGGACCAACAAGGCCACAACCTGGCCCTCCACCTAAATCCCCAGGGTCAGGGAAAAGATAAAAGAGACAAGAAACAAGAATGAAAATAAGAAGATGAAGGAAACACCCTGCCAGACATGACCAGAAGACATGAACAACCCTGCTGTATTATCTCAGAGGAAGCAAAGGAATCATCATGTAAATCTGTCACTATGTTTTCCCTAATTAATGAAACAACTTTTGTGTTTCAGATTAAACAGAAAACCATCAGGAGGGAAACATGCACCTTGTCACAGTCTTATTTCCTGAACCAGCCTGACTCATTAATAATCCCTCAGAATTCTGAAGCATGAGGTTCACAAACCACTGTGGATGGGAGAACTGTCAGCTCTGCAAGCAGCTGGTCACAGTTGGTCACTGCTGCCTGCCTACATTGCTGCTGAACCTTCCACCTAACAGGTACAAAAATCTGACAGAACAATGCTCACACACAGGTCCAAACCCAAGAGTTGAACTGTCACCAGCTGAAGTTCTGCAGTTAAATCCTCTCAAGATGAATGCACCCAAGTTGACTTCAGTGAGTTAAGGAAAACTAGAGAGGCAGGGGGGAGTCCCTGAATCACAGAGCTCCCACCCGAAATAAGTATTTAAAACTGGAATTGGAAAGAGTCACAGCTTGATTCTGGCAAACTTTCCATTGTGGAGGTGAGCTTGGAACAGTTAAACAAAATAACATTACCAATTCAAACAGTCTTAACCAGCTTTGGACCCAGTAAATATGTGGACAAAACACATATATGGGCTGCTGCAGAAAACAATGCAACAATCTTCAGATAGCCTCCAACCTTTTACCTACTTTCCTAAACAAAAAAGTAATCTAAAAAGCAGATATCTAAACATTTCTCCCAAGATACACCTGACCTGTTTCTTTCAAGCAGGACAATGAAACCTCTAAACATGGCTATTATCAGTGAGCTCGTGACAATGAAAACAGAAAGAACTTCACTTGATTTACTACCTCTCCACATATTTTATAGAAAACATCTTCTCTAGCAGCTCCTCTCTCCCAATTCCTTCACCCAGCAATCTCCTCACCAAGGCAGAGTAATTAACAACAGCCCAGAGGCCAGCTGGAGGAACTGGGCTCTGGGCACTGTCATTAACCTCTGGAAGGAAACATTCTAGTGACTGGACAAGGATTGTAGAAGAAAACAGAGCAGCCAAACAAAGCAAACAAAAGAAAAACTGTAATTTCCTGTCTTTCAAATTCAACACAATAGTTACAGAACCAGACACAGACACAGCCATAGCGATGCTCAAAGGCAGCAATTCACCAGCTCCAAGGTAGGACAGACCTGTAAAACTCATGTTTGGCAGGGCATCACCTCTCTGAGGGGTTTGTATTCCCCTTCTGCAGCTGGGGAGCAGGAGGCACCCAACACAAACACCAGGAAAAGGGGAAATCCACCCCATAGAGGCCAAGAGGCACTGAGAGGGCTAAGTGTGCAAGGAACACTTAACACCAACCAATGCAGCTGCCACCCACCTAGGTAATTTTCTGGGTTGGTTAACTCTCTGTGCCAAAAGGGATCCTTTACCTCTGTACCCTCCTCCACCCTTAAAGTTCATTTGCTCTGCTACATGAAAACTTTCAAGTTTTTACTTCTTGTTAAGAAAAAAATCCCACCATCACCAACAGATACTCCAGTTCAAGCCCAGATTTTTAGGCTTGAAACAAGTTACTGAGTAGAAGACAACCAGCCTCCTGTGCAAGAGGTGAGACTGAAAGATCACAGGGGCATCACTGTCCTTTGGGTAACAAACTTCAGTTCTCCATTAGTGAATCCAGGTCACTTTTTCACAGGAGAGAAGGGAAATGCAAACAAAGCTCCTGTTTTCAATGGGACACTGTCCAAGTCACAAATATTATTACTTCATTCTCCCTCCCTGCACCAAAAAATCCCCTAGCCTACAGAAATTTTGCAATATGACAGTGCTCCTTCCAAAAAAGAAGTGGTGCAACAATGTACAAATGGTGCAACCACCCATTCCTCAAACTCAAGCAATTAATCAAAAACAGCCATCATGGTGTCAGGTTCAGAACAGGCTTCTCCTGGCTATCTCCACCACAGTGTTGGCAGCAAAGACATCCAGACACAGCTGCCAACTGCAGGATGGGTCAGTGTTCATTGCTGGGCTGAGGCAGATGTTGAGGCACTGAAATAATCTGGGGTTTCCTACTTACAAGAGCATCTATGAGGACTTCAGCTCCTTCTTCACTCTCATGGAGAGTATCAATATCAGTCAGCTCTTGCAGCAAGTCAACCACAGCTATGGAAACATGTGCTGGGTGTTAAGGACAACCAACAGGGAGGCAAATGCATTTAGTATCAATAGCAGATGGCTCTTAGGCCAATGTGTTCATGACATGACCCCAAAGCAACTGGCAATACATTACTAGTGAGGTGATAAAATGCAGTGCAATCACAGCAGCAGGGCACAGGGTATCAGACACAAGAGCACACAGACTACTGCAGCAGACCTTCCCCAGAAGTGCTAAAATTAGGGAATCTGAACAATTAGGAATGATAAAAACAAATGTGATTCTGTGCTTACTGTATCAGGCAATTTTACTGTTTCTTCATGGTAGTTACTTATATTTTTTTCAAACATGCTGGAATTGGTCTAAGGAGGCACCATCTTGCATTGTCAAGACTGAACACATGCAAAGAGAAATGAGTTATAATAATGTGATTTGGGTATTCTGCTCTCAGTGATAGCCCTGCTAACCTGATACACACACACCCCTAACGAGGGCAGCGCCGGCAGCAGGAGCATCACCCCCCTCTGCCCAGCCCAATTAGGGCAGCACACTCCTCAAACCACAGCCCTCACAGGAACAGCAGAGCTTCTGCCAGCCCAATTTTCACTCATTAACTCTGGGCTGCATAACACACAGCTCCCCTGCCTGCTGCACAGCTCCCTTGTACGACAAGACGCATTCCAGCTCATTAGACCCACTTCCCTATTCTCTCAGACACACTGATCAATCCTGCCTGCGTCCCAAGGGCAGAGCAGGAGCTGTGGTTTTCTCAATGTCCTAAATAACCACTCTGTGATGGATCTCTCTCAAGTGCCCAGGCTGACAAAGCTGCTCCCAGGTCTCCTATTTGTGCATTTGTTCAAAAACACAAGCAGCAACAGGAAAAGTATTTTCATCTGTCTTTTCTTAGTGAGGTTCAGCCGTGTGCTGGGGCTGGCTGGAGAGGTGAGCTCTGCAAGAGAGAGCCTGGACTTTCTGCTGGACAAGCTGCAGGAGAGTCACCAGCGTGTCACTTCATACAAGTGTCACCTCAGCAGAGTGTCACTGCAGCAACAAAGGCAAATCACACACTACAGTGCAACAACAAAACCAGCAAGTCAACAGAAGGAATTATTTTCTTTTCCTTGGCACTCATGGGACAACTTGCAGAATATTTTGTTCAGTTGTGGGCTCTCCCAATAAAAGAGAGGCCTTGACATACTGTGCTTGGGAGAGCAGAGGACCACTGAGGTGGTCTGGGGGTTAATACAGGATGGATGAGGACAAATTGAGGGAATGGGGTTTCATCAGCTCGTGGGAGAGAAAGCTCAGGGAGGAATCAGTTGAAGATTTCTGCGGTCTCCTGGGTGCTACAAAGATAACTGAACCAAGTTCTTTTGAGAGTGCAAAGCAAAGAATTCAGCAGAGTTCATAATGCAGGGCATTCCTGTCTGGGAAGTTTCTGTTGGGGCTTGCAGTGAGAATATCAGCTGTCCTATAAAATTTAGGAAATAGTAAAGCAAAGCCTCGCTTGAAGCTTTCATGTCTTTCATTAATAAAATCTTGTTGGTGATCATCTTTCATTCACATGTTTTGTGTAAAACTGTATGAATCATTCAGCAGATTATTTGCTCCCCCTGGACATTTCTTTTGTCTCCTTGCATTAGTCCCTCCTCACGACACCACAATTAAATCGCTTCAAAGAGCCATTTGTTTCGTTCTCTCCTTGAAGAACTCATTTTAAAAAATATTTTCCCATTTGTTTTAACAAAACATCATTAGAAAACCTGAGCTGTATCAATCTAGTTTTATGTCTAGATGTTTCACTTCAATAGTGCTTCTACCCTGTATGTGAGCAGCAGCAGTCTCTGCTTCCAATGGAGCTCAGAACACTTCAGCAGTTTTATAACACAAAATATACTTTTCCCAAAATTGCAGTTCTCAGGCCAAATTCCTACCCATAAATTCACTGACAGGCAAGTTGCAAACCAAATAAAAAGAGTTCACACTGGAAACCCTGACAAGTCTTTGACAGCAGCAGTGATCCCAGCACAAAGCTTTCCATGGCACACAGGATAAAGCAAGCTGTACTCTGGTGCATTTTATCTGGAAAACAGCTCTGCTATCCCAGTCAATATTCCCACTGTTCCTTTTTTCCCTATGAATGAGAAATTCAGTATAAAAGCACATAGTACAAACAAGTCTGTAGTGTCTGGTATAAAATAAATAATTAAACTACAGTAACCACGAAATTGGATTTGCATGGGAGGAGCTTCCCCCTGTACAACATAAATTGTTAACAGTTATTTGAGAGCCATTTCCTTGCAGATCTTGGATAAGGGAAGCTGTGGGGTTTACTATTTTGCAGGGACCAGCATTCACCACATCAAGGTTCCACCTGATGCAAGTCAAAATACCCAAACACAGTGCTCGCTAATATAAACTGGCATGCAATAAAATATTTATGTTTTGGTTTTAGCTTCTGATCACTGCACCCACTTAGAAAGAATGAATTATGAATTCTCAATAGATGGTGCTATAAAGAAAAGTGCTAAAAAAGAAAACCAAGATCTGTGCATCAGACCACAACAGGCAGCACTAACAGGCCTTTTCACATTGTATATTCCAAAACACCTCAGGAAAGCTGGTAAGTGTTATCTCCTGCTTTACACATAAAGAAGCAAAGAATAAATTACCTTCCTAAGGCCATGGATCAATAAAAATGGAAAAAGGACTGCCTGAGACTCAAGTCGACACGCAGTGCCCTTTCCACAGGGCTTCACTGCTCCCTCCACCCACAGATATTTTCAGGACACAGACATGCAATCTCCCAAGTCATGTAACAATTTTTCAGCTTAATCTGCTGTAGAATATTTTACAAGCAAAGCGGTCTGAGGTCTGCTTTTACAGACTGCACAGTGGTGAGCTGGGCATAGTGCCAGCTCCCAGCTGACAGCTAAGCATCAAAGCATCAGGATACTCAAAAAATGGCACTGGTTTTGATCAACACTACATAAATAGGAAGCTCTCTCTCAGATGCCCTCAGAGCTCCAGAGGTACAAGAGCCAGGTGCATAGAGGGATCAGGGTCAGTGACACTGGACCTCACTGAGCATGGAAATGGAATTGTCTCTGGAAATGTACTTAACCAGATGGGCCACCCACAGCCTTGAGCTCTGTGCACAGCAAACCAAAAGTATGGGCACATGAAGAGGGCACATTTACAACCTAAGGTGAAGCATGTGGTGAGCTAGTCCATCACAAACAGTCTGACAGTCTGACAGCCCAGCTCTCAGCAAGAAGGGGTAAAATAGTTTCATTTTCACTGAGGCTATTCCAAAGTTTGCAGTCTGAGATTATTGCTGCTAAGCCCAGGCCTTCACTTCTCCTGTGCTGCTCATCTGCTCACACTCTTAACACTGCCAGTCAAAACTAGATGAAAGGGTCATAAAACAAGAAAGGAGAATAACAGCACTGAAAAAAATTCAGAATCAATATTACTTGAACAAAGAGGGCTTTCACTGGGAAAAAAAATGAAAAACCAACACATAAATTCAGTGTGGTGGGAAGAGGAGAAAAACATCTACAGGAGCCTAGGAAAGAGGATATGAGAGATTACAGAAAAGTCTGTAGAAAGCCTCTCCCATGAGAGCTGCTTTAGCAACTGAAGGATATCTGTGTTGTCATGTCCCAGCAGCCCAAGCAGAGACTGCACAGCGTTCAGCTCCACCAGCAGGTGATACAGGCCGGGCATCGTCGCGATCACGTGCATTTCCTGAATGATGTCATTTAAATCCAGCTCTGACTCCATAAACCTGAGGCAAGACAAAAAAAGGGTAACAAAAAGGCAAGAAGAGACCACTACCTTCCAGGAGACACCACATAGGACTTGTCACCCCAGGTGCACATGGCACCAGCATTTCTATCCTCCCTGTCCTACACCTGTTCCTTGAAGTTTAATCCTGCAGCAGCATAAACTTTCTACTGTGTAATTTACATAGAGTAAATAAGCAGATTTGTTCCAATTTTCTAAATCAGTTCTAGAATTTCAAGAAGAAATTAAAATCAAGATGCTGCAGCCACACATGAGAAGGCTTGCTTTTAAAATAAATTCTGCAGAGTGCTGCACTTTCCCTAGCTAGCACGTATTAGTATGTGGGTTGTAAGAGTCTGAAGTCCATAAATATATGGTAAGGCAAAGGACAGCAAACTGGACAAAAAATAATGGCACTGAACTGTAGGAAGAAATCCCTTTAAAGTGAATAACAGAACATCTTGAAGGGAGGAAGAGGCTTCAAGGACACAAACACACAACTGGCTCTTGGAGCCCATCCCAGCTGTTCTCCTCACCACAGGACTGGGTAACATGAAATGATTTGCTCCCCACACAGACCTCTGGCTGGTATGCAAGCACACACCTTCACATCAAATGATGGAATGAAACCTTTAATTATTGCTGATGATGGTTTTTGTGCTGCCAGCCATATATTGGCCCCACCAGAGTCTCAATAAAGGCATTTTTAAATAACAAAGTCAGTTTCAAATAATATTTAGAAGAACTACAAGGCAATAACTGCAGTTACATAAGCCTTATGTAACTGAAAACATCTCTATATTCCAGCAATTTATTTAGGCTTACACCTAAAATCAAAGGGAGAAAAGTTAAGCACAGTCTTACTTCTCTGGATTATCGGGAAACTTGATCCGCAGCTCCTGGTTTTTGTAGGATCTCTTCTCAAAGGTGAGAATCATCTTCTTCACTGAGCTTTCATCCAAAGGTTCCTCCTGACCAAATGAGAAAAGGCAGAAAAATAAGCTTTGAATGGCTGAAGAAATATCAGCAATGTGGTGGGACTGCAGCCAGGCCCAGGCCCTGGGAATTCCAGCCAGCTCTGGAATCTCCCTGCAGAGAGCTGCCAAATACCTCACAGGCCATCACCGCCCACTCCAGCTCAGACCTCGAGCTGCTCTTCCACACCTGCTATAACCTGGCACCACCAGCTCATATCGAGGTTTTTTTGCTTCTGACATAGAGCAAACCTGCACTCACAGCCTGTGCCCACAGAGCTTCTCTGCAGAAGTCCCTTGTTGTGCTATTGTTTTTTTGAAGTCTACATTTAACTGCCCTGAAGTTATGTTCTTCCGCATTTTCCTCACTTGGATAAGCTTTCACTGTTATCTTAAAGCCTTTTCCTAAAGAAAAAAATAAATCAATATTCTACTCTAGTATTTTCTCTTTATTTTGTAAATGCTCCTAAGGTGTTTCTCAGCTGGAGTTGTATATTTACTGTACAGCAGCAATACAACCTCAGCTGCCTCCCTGACACCTACAAACATTTTCCTTAGTTTATGACTTTAATGCACTTCTTTTATTAAAAAATTGATGATATAGATTTCCCTGTGTAACCTCTTCCCTCTCCTCTGACTGTGTTACAACCACTATTTAAGAGAAGCTCTCAAAACAAAAACCAAACCAGACACCCTCCCATCTTTGGCCAAGTGCCCCTCAGGATTAAAGCAAGAGCTGCTGCTGGTGCTGCAGATTCTTTGGTCAGTGACTCTAAGCAGCAATCTGGTATGAGACAGAAAACCTCCATTTCTTCAGCAAACTCCATTACAATAACAACACCAGCCCCAGCCTTCAGTTATGATTGGATTTCCTCCGTTCCTTTGCCCAACCTGTCTCATTGCCATCCCACTCATGTCACCACCCCATTCAGCCAATCAATACTACAGTGCCCAAAGCACATTCTTCTTGCACTGGGATTTCAACCCACACATGCTGACACTGCTTCCTTCTGTTCCCTTTGATTCTTTGCTTCCTCTAACACATATCACTATGATATCTCCATTAGGATCTGCTTTATATCTTGTATTGAATTTGCATTCAGTATTGCAGTGTCCTACAGATTAGCTTCTTCACATCAAATTTACTGGGACAAAGCACATTTTAATGGCACTTATATTAACTGCAGTCCAAAGTAATAAACAAGATATTTGGATTCTAAAGCCTGGACTTTCAGCCTTCAAAATGTCTGGCTGGGAGGACTCCACTTGACAGAGATGAGGGACTGGCACACTGCAGGAATCCACAAGACTCCAGCCAGTCAGGAGGACTCCTCTTTTCTCGATCCATCCTCCCTGGAGCTGAAATGCTACAGAAATCCTGCATTATCTTCCTCTACTATCAGCAACAACTGTCATGGCAATAGCTCAACATCAAAAAAAGAGGGAGATTCTTAAAGACGGATGCTGGCAATGCTGTATACAAAGGACAATGATATTTTACAAAGCTACACGATTCTGCAGTGGTGAATATCACTTGTTTTTTTATCAAACAGGACACAGGCAGCAGGAAGCAAATATCTTCTAGATTTATACCAATCCATGTGTCACATTTATAAAGTGATCTTTTCCCTGGCCCTTGGCAGAAAGGCCAATGCAGCATTGGATTTCTGTCTCCAAGGCTTGAAATCATTTACCCTTGACAGCTGCCACCCCCCTCCTCTGACCCAAGACCTTTCTTGTACAGAAGAATGTTTGTTTATTTGCTGCTGCTATACAGCTACAAAGAGGGGGAGAAGCTGCATGGTTGGGGGTACTGATGAGAACAATAGTCAGGAAATTGGTTAGAACACAGAAACTGTTTCCTAAAAATATACTTTAGAAGGTGATCTGGGTATTCTCAGAACAAACAGAGATTAGACTTGAAAGCCTTCTCCCTTTTGTCCCCACTTTAAATCCTCAGCTGAGAAATTTGAAATTAATGAACACCCCGCAGGGCAAGAAAGCAAACCCACGACCTGAAGCTGTATGAGCACAGAAAAATCACGTTAAGCCTCACCACCTACACGGCAAGAAATGGGAATCACAGAGAAGGAGTTTAGTGTTTGGTTATTTCCACTGCCTCTCCTTTCCCAGAGGACTTACTTCCTCATCTTCCTCTTCTCCATCCCTCTCAATTATCTGAAGGAGTTTCTTCTTCTCATCATCAGTTTCTTCCAGGGCAGCAGACTCCTCTTCCCTGTGACGGCCATGCTCTCGGGCACTGGCTTGTTTCCGACGTGCTTTGATTTCCTCCTCCTCTTCATCACGGGGTCTTTTTGTCCCTCTGTTGGGCTGAAGTCACACAAAAAAAAGGTGAATGAATACAAGTGTTTAGTGACCCTTGCAAACCAGAATACCAATATTACAAACCATACAGAGGAAATTCTTACAGGTTTAAAAGATTTGCTTACACGACACTTAACAACTCTGAAAACTGGAAAGGAAATTAATTTAGTGAAGTGGAACATCACATGAGTAGATGAATGCCTCTGCCAAGAGCTGTGTCAACATCCTACCTTCTTTGATCTATGAACACAATTCACGGGAAAATATCTTCATAGACAGCAAGGACAAGGAGTGCACAGACAAGGAGTGGCCGAGCAGCCCTGCTCAGTGGGGCACAGCTGCCCATCAAGGAACCCCAGGCTGCTGACTCAGCTCAGACAACCCCACATTTCACAGCCAGCAGACTGATATGCTCAGCAGACAGCAGAGAACGATAATTTTTTACCCACAACATACACAAGACTATATTGAATTCCTGTGTGCCTCCCATTTCACCCCCATCCTTCTGTCTGAAGTTTGCTGACAAGCAAAAGCAGAATAAACCCAACTCAGAGTAGGGAGGACAAAGAGGACTGCCGCTTGCTGCAGCTCTGCAGGGGCTTGGCACTGGATTAAACAGTGCCCAAAACATCATGCTTTGCTTGGAAAAAACAATTCCTATTATTTTATCCCACTATTTCTAGTTGATTGTCAAAATTAAAGGTAATTGGCCAAGGACAAGAAGAAGTCTATTAATCCTAATCCCATGTTTTCATTCAGGCAGAAAGGGATAAAAGTATTTGCAACAGAAGAAAAAATTTTCCCCTCAAAAGCTCCAAGGACATTAAATTTGGTCTCTCACATTTTTGAAGGACAACCAAGCTGGAACAGTACTCTATGTTCTATAACTACAACAAAACAAAGCTTAATTATTCTTTACTATTTAAAAGGAGTGTATGCATCAAGAATAAGAAAATAATAACAAAAATACATTTACTTTGCAACACTGCTCAAGTCACCTGGTAGGTGATTTTGTAACCTCATTAAGTCTAACACATGTCCATTTTAATTTATAAAACAGCACCTGGCAGGCAGCCCCTGCTCTTCTGCTCTGTGGGACCCTTTGTCTAAAATGGCAGAAGTCACACCAGGCTTCCATGAACACAGGCCCTGCTTTCATGTGAGACTGAGATCCTTCTCATGTTTGATCCAAAGAAAGGTACAGAGGAAATAAGCGACAGTGTCATTCTCCTGACAGGTCTGGCACTAGTGTGAGCATCAAGATGGGAATTTCCAGCTCCCTGGCAGGTTGGGAACTTTTGGGCTGCAGGCTCCTAAGGGAATCCAGCTGTGGTTCCAGTTCTGCCATGCACTGCACCAGGGGCACAGCGCAATGACAAGCTGGTAAATCATCTGCTCCAGAGAAAATGCTGCTTTCAGGAGATGTAAAAAAATAAAAACCCCCAGCCAGGCCCAAAAAGCACATGAGGAGTTAATTATAGTTAAGAAGCAGGGGCCAGAGAGCAGCCTGGCTGGGATCACCTTGTTTTCAGGGTTACCACCTTGTCACCACTTTAGGGAAGACGCAGAATCAAGTTTCCCAGACAACACATTAGCACAAATCAGAGCTGTATCTGCTCGCTCCCAGGCAAACCTGTTCAAGCTCTGTTATCTGTCTGCTTTCTCTCTATATCTTCTCTGCCATTTCCATTACAGATGGTACATTCCTGACTTAAAACGCTTCTAAAGTGCCTCCATGCACTTTTAAAGCAGTTACTCAGCTCATAATTCAATAGCCATGACGTGGAAGCATACCCAGAGATTCTCTGAAATGAAAAATTTATTTGCTTGGAGGGTTTTGTGGATTGGGTTTTTTTTAAGCAGATTCCTATTACTTATCTTCTAGGTACATTAAAATATAATTTCACATAGATCCATTTGGAAACAAATGTGTCATTGACAACAACTAATAATTCAAACACTCCCTGAGCAACCAGCAAACCCATAAAAAGAATAAGGAAAAGGTGCTCTTCTAAATGACATCATCCAAGGAAAAAACTTCAGTAAATCCATACTCCTTACTCAATGTCCTTGATGCCACAAGGGGCCCTGCCCTTCCCCTGTCCTTCCATTCACTCCTTGGTAATACCATCCTAAACCATCTTTGACAGATAATTGTCACAAATACAGCTATTAGTGACATAAATCCCAAAATTTACATCTAATCTCAACAAGATTTGTCATGGATGTTCCTAATTTGGAATTGGAATGCCAATCCTCACTCTTATTTCTAAACATTAAAAAGGACCAAAGCCTGAGGTGTAATGAGAGGCTGAGGGAGCAGGGGGTCTATCAGATGCAGAGTCATGTGCCATAGGAAGGGATTGCATCTCAGAACAAAACTTAAACTAAAACTCCATCATGAAACCATCCCCATTTCCTCTGAGTACACAATCCTCAAGATCAGAATTTACACCCTTGCTTCCATCTCAATTATTTTCCCCTTTTTTGTATTTATGCATTGCTGGGGGAGGCTCTGTACCACGGAGCAGAATCATTATGATAAATCAGGGAAGTGCCCCGTGTGTGATCATTAACGCTGCCAGAGCCTGGCAATAGGCAGTAATTGAATTCGGGCAAACGCTATTAAGCAGGCATTAAGGCTCTGCCTCTCCTTATTGATGTTATGCAAAAACCTCGCTAAGAACATTGCTGTTCCCAACCAGCGCTTATTAAAGCCAAGAAACCAAGGCCTGAGTGGAACACCTGGGTCCTGCTCATTCCACAAGGGATGCACAGTCATGAACAACTGATTTAAGGCAGGCATTACTTTCTGCTCATTGATTTTCATCTTGGGTTTGCATTTGTGTTTTGCAAAGGACTCTCACCAACTAGCAAGAATTAAGCTCATAGGTTGCTGCACCGAGCCCGGTGCATTTCGCTCAGCAAACACACAGATTGTGTCCAAACACATTTATTTAACCAATTCCACAGCTTCACAGACATCTGCACAAGTTCTGCCTTTGTGGTAGAAAAGAGAAAGTTAATCGTTTGATAAACAAAATGTGGGGATTTTTTACTTAGCTGTGCTAAGGTGAATCTGGCAAGAAGTTAGAATTCATTTGAAAATGCACAAGAAAAGCATTTTTCAGTTGTTATGTTAGCTAAGCTTAATTCTGTTCCTGATGAATGCAGGGCATTCACAGTAATTTATTCAGCAGGCATTTTCATTTAAATCTAACACTGATAGCACCACACAGAAACCAATGAATACAAAAGGGTTTAAAAAAAGCTACTGTTTATAAAATATGATAAAGTAAACAGAAGCTGGTAATTGGGAACTGGAGGATTATCTTTCCCTTTCTCTTGTAGTCCTCCTGTACTGGTTGTGCCTGTTGGCTGACAGACACTCCCTGGGGCCCAGCCTTTGGTACAGACTTTCCCCTGACACACCTGACACAGGTCCTGGTCTGGCAAGGCCAAGCCTGACCTCAGTGTGGGCAGCAGGAGCAGCATCAGCCACATGTCACATGAGGAACAGGGAAACAATGTCCTAAATCAAAGCACAATAATCTGCCAGCACCCCTGGGCTCCCTCCAGGCAGTGATTGCACATTAATATCAGGGTTAAGTACACCACAAAATCAGAACACACATTTCTCAGAATCCTGATTGCTTCAGCCTTTGCCAAACATAAGGAAGGTTTAGAGAGTCTCGGTAGTTTCATATTACTCAGGAAATACTCAGGAGTTTCATATTACTAAGGTATCTGTTTTGTAAGTAACCTCATTACTGTGAGGCTCAGGAATTTTTTGTTAATGAAATCTGAAATAAATCTTTATAAATGATGCAGCTTCTGTGCCCACATCCCAGGCTGCTCCAAAGAGCCACTCAGAAAGCAGCAGAGCAGCTGTCAGTTTGGGATCCTAATCTCCAGAGGAATCTTCAATGACTTCCTAATTTTGTTTCCAATGTTTGTGATAAACCAGGCTACGATCAATCTCACTTTCCCATGCTTTTTCTTCCTGAGCCATGACACACAGCACTTCTAAATGGTGCAGGATCTGAGTGCTAAAATCGGGAAGAACCGGTACCTCAGGAAAATCAAAAATCTCAGAGACTCAAGAGCTCCCAAATCACACAATCTGAGGCAAATGCAATGACAATGCAATGACAGGCGCAAATGCAATGACAGGTACCCACATGGATACAGATTATTAATTTCAGAGGGAATGCACTCCTGTGCCCTCCAGACTCCCTTGCAAGGTTCTGAACCATCCAAGGAACATATCAGGGAGGTGTATGACAGGGATCTTTCTTGACACCCCCTGGTTTGGTGGTCAAAGACAATACCTGGGAAGTAAACTAGAGATTCATGTGCCATCCTGTGAGAGCACAGCTCTGGCAGCATGGGGCTGTACTCCCAGGAGCAGAGCCAAGGGATGAGGCAGACAGCTGAGCCAATGTCAGCTCCTTGTTTTAACTGCCAGCAGCAGAGCTACTGGGGTAATAATGCTGTGAGTAGCCACAACCAGCTCAGCTGAACTGCCCCTACCATCAGATGCATCCATTACAATGCAAATTGACAGCAAATCATCCATACCAGCAGCAGAAATGATGATACACAGAGATCCATCCCTGTACACACTGCACTGAACCCCGACAAACCCCGGGGAGATCACCCAGCAGATCTCACTCCAGCACTTACTGCTTCCTCTGCTGCTTGATCTTACTGACAATCAGTATTGCAATGATCACTCACACTGATGAAATCTGCCGTTAATGAGAATTCAAATAACCTCCCTTATTCCCTCCCACGACAACTGAAAGAAGACTCTGAATAGGCCCGGAGTTGGCTTTGTCCTCTTAATTACCCTCTGTAATCAGAGACCAAACGTGGAGGATCTGGGCAAACAGCAGCAATATTTAATCATCACTTTAGACCATCTGCAACTGTTTTGCAGCAACACGTAAAGTTTATGGATTCCTGAGCTTTGGATAAACGGCCAGGTGCTGTTTAATTGTATTTTTTGTTGCAAGAGGTTTCTTTTCCCGTTCTGGCAGACACTTGGTGCTGAATTGGTGGCACGGTGCCTGCAGTCTTCCACGCCAAGTTTGGCTCTGAGGGAGAACATCTTCTTGCCGAAGCAAGGGCACAGATTACACATTTAGAGGAGAAAATTCAAAACAGTCTAAGAGGAAAGCAATTATTTTGGGTTGTGCTGAGGGAGGTTAAGAAGACCAACTCATTTGCAGCCAGAGATTAAAATCAGAGAGCTGAGGCATCACACCACCTCCCTGACAGCCGGTACCATGCCTGCATTGAGGACAGCCAAGGAGACCTTGAGCCAGCCCAGAGCAGGGAAGATCCCAAATCCAGAGCTGGAGTGGGCCAGGAGCTGCTGGGGGAGCTGCCAAGCCACCCTCCCCTGGCCATCTCCTTCAAGCCACCCTCCCCAAAGGCAGAGCCTGACCCACAGGCTGGGAGGCAGTGAAATCTGCTGCTCGCAACTATTTTCCTGCACCTCTCAGCAGCAAATGCCCTCACAGAAGGGAATCTCATTTTCTCAGAATCGGAGCTATTTGCCTGCCTGCTCCTCCTCCACTTCTTTTACCTGTACTCATCACTGTACCCAGTTCTGGAGGTCTGAACTCAGCACCACTAACTTCTAATGCTCCCTAAAGCATCACCCCAGCCAGAGACGCAAGAACCACCTGCATTCAGCTGAGAGCCCAGGAGAGCACAGAGCCAGGGCAAATCCTTCAGGAACTATTTCAGCAGTTGGCTGAAAGCTGCAGAATGCTTTTCCCCACAGCTAAGAACAATTTTAGCAGCAAGAAATGGAATTAAAATTTAGATACCCTGCAGCTAAGCAGCACTTCTTTACCTTGACAGAATAGAGCCCCCACGGTCACAAGCAATCACCCCCCGCCCGTGCTGAAAGCTCATCCAAGGGAAAACTGCACAAAATCCAAGTGAGCCAAGCAAAGTGGATGGACACTTCCCTCCAGAGTGGAGGGAATCCTGGGGAGTTCACATTCTGAGAGCAAGAGAAAAACCACCTAACAAAACCCCAAGCTGGAACTTGGTTAAAAAATGACAAAGTTCATTCAGGTTTACCTCTCTGTGCCTTAACCTGCATGCCAGACATGTAAGGGATGACATAGCTAAGCCCCAGATGGGGTGGAGAAGGCCAAAGAATCATAGGAATGTAAGAAATGAGAATTCTAATTTGATGTTGAGAAATCACATTTGAAAAAGACAGCGAAATACAGAGGTGGAATGGATCTCAGAGCAGCAGGGCTGTGCTGTTGCATGCAGCAGGATGTGGAGGGATGTTTGAGACAGAGCAATCCACAGAGGGAAACATCCTGGAGATTATCAAGGAAGAATCCAGTGGAGCTCTCAAAGACAGACTGCCCCAGAAACTTCAATACCATTGGGAAAACGGCTGAGAAACTTCTCAAACCCAACAGCAACTTCCCCTTTTCCCCTGAGCATCTCCCAACACCACATTCCCAAAGCACAAACACGGAGTGAACAGCAAGACACTCCCTTCACCTCCGTGCCCCACGGAATGAGGCACACCAGGAGGGCACCAGGAATTCCCTGCACACCAGGAGAGCACCAGGAATTCTGTGCTCTCAGCTCGGAGCAGACCTGGCCACACCTACAGGCTGAAATTGCCTCGGGGTGTTTTCCTCACCCAGGGAATCCCCACGGCTGCAGGCGGGCTGAGAAGTGAAACCAAGCCCGGCATTATCCCAGCCAAGGTGTCAAAATGTTCATGCAGTTCATGCCCTCATTCCCTGTTTCACAGGAACACCTGAAATCTGCTCCTGGACAATAAACCACTCGATAAATAATAAACCACTCGATACCTGCACACAACGCGCCATCAGTGACCGCAGGGCAAAGGAAGAAAACGCTCCGAGTAAAGGAAAACTTTTATAAAGAAAGCTTTTTAAAACGTATTTTGATAAAAATGAAATTGAATGGGTTTTGAGATAAAACAGGGAGAAACAGACACGCTAGAACAGCCACGGGAGGAGCTCAGGCTCCGCTCCAGCTCAGGCGGGCACAATCTGTTCATCTGCGGCCGAAGCGACCCCGACAAAGCCGCGGAGCCCCCGATAATCGGCTCCTACCGGCTACCACCGCTCCGAAGAAGGGGAGAGACCCCCAAAACTTTAACCAGCCCCCGTGCGAGTGCGGCCGGTGAGGCCCCGCACGGCGGCCGCCCCAGGCCCGCGGCCGCACCGGAGCTGGGGCAGCGTCGCTGCCGCCGCAGCGGGGCCACGGACGAGGTCACCTCCGCGACACCCCCAGCGCGGCCCAACTCCCCGAGCTCACCTGGTAGCTGAGCAGCTCCCCCACGTCCATCGCACCCACCGGGCCCCGCCACCGGGAACCTGTCGCAAAGCACCGGGGCCGCGCGACACTTGCCGTAAGGCAGGCAGCGCAGGCCGGGTGGGGGGCGCCACACTGCCGGAAAGCGAGGCGGGGTGGGCCGTGCCGGAAAGGGAGAGGGAGGAGGCGCCACACTGCCGTAAAGCAGCGTGGGGATGTCGCGAACGGGAGGGGGCACCGGGTCACCCCCGTCCTTCACGGGTCTCGGGGCTGGGCTCGGGGCATCCCGCCTGTCCCCCGGTGCCACACGGCACAGGGCAGGGAGAGAACGAGACCCCGTTGTACCCCCGGTGACAGGAGGGCCTGCCCTGCCCCGAGCAGCCGGTGCCACGGCGGGCCCGTCCCCGCTGTGTCCCGGGGGAAGCGACACCCGGCAGAGCCCCCCGAGCGCTCCCCCGGGCCAGCGGGAATCAGCGTTTTACGGGCCACGTTTTCCATAACCTTGCAAAGGCGCTGCCAGCGGTTATTGACAACACATTTCTATTTATACCCGGCGTCATTAACCGCTGTCACCTTGAAAACACGCCAATAACCGGGCCCTGAGCGCGGCAGCAGCGCCGTGACGGCCCCTCTGCTTGCTGAGGTCGTGACAAATCGCTCTGTAATCCCACAAGATGCAGAACCCCAGACAGATTGAGGCATTTCTCAATTTAACAAATAAGAATAATTAGGAGAGAGTCAACTCGGCCAAAATCGTACTGAATTTATTTCAACTGTGCTTTAAAAAACAGTTTTGAGCTAAAATAATTTTTCATAATGATCGCAGCTATTACGCAGTTATCTCAGCAGGAGTCTGGTTTGAGAAATCTGAGAAAATTAAAAAAATATATAATGTTTTTGAAGGAGTCCCTCGCATCCCCCATTGTTTCAAGAAAATATAGGAGATCGGTCATGGCAAAATTAACTCAACAAATCTGCATGTTAAAGATGAGATAAATAGGAGGTAATTATTAGCTCGTCTGGCTTTGGGATGTTGAGCATTCAGATGATTCCCCAGCTGTGAAACCTCCACATTTGGAGGCACTGGAGGGGTACTGGCACATACTGGGAACGGGATTCAGTTTCTGGGAAGCCTGACCCCCACCCAGGGATAAGCACAAGTGGGGATAGGAACTGACCACACACAGAATGTGATGAGCTACTCCTGCCCTGAGGCTTCCCCTCCACCTCATTCCCAGAGAGTGGAGCAGCTCTGGGAGGAGCTGAGGAAAGGCAAAAACCACCAGTGACAGGAAGAGCCCCAGCCTGAGCACAGCGAGCGAGGCCGGCACCTTTGCCTCGAGCTTCTTGTTAAAGAAAAAGATAGAAAATGTTCACTTCACCTGGCCTCCTCCCTGACAGGACTCAAAGGCCAGGGGCAACACTCAAAAAAAAAAAAAAAAAACCACAAAAGCAGGAATTTGAAGAACCCAGGCACTGCATTCTGCATTGCTGCCTGGGAAGCCAAATTCTCATCTAGTCCTACAGGGGAGGATGCAATAACAGAATTTTTATCCAATAAGGTGAGCTGGAGCACAGGGACAAAATATTGAATTAAAAAGCGAAACCAGGAGCAAAATCAAAGTATTAAAAAAGCTCTCAAGGAAATAAATGAAGGATGGAGATGAGCAGCTGCATGGGGCTGGCTCCAGCCTCTCCTAGGTGAAACATGCAGCAAAGCTGGGTAAGGGGCTGTAGGCTCTGGATAGGCTGGAGCAAACCCTGGGACTTGACTTGGTCAGGAGAACAAGGACTCCTGGCTTCCTCTTCCCAGGCACCCTCCTTCCACAGGGGATGGAGAACCACCCTCAGGGCTGACCATGTCCCCAGGCCTTTCCTGACACTTTTCCCTGGATGGGCACAGAGGAGCCAGGACAGAGCAGCAGCTGCAGATGGGGCTTATGCAATGGTCTCAGCATGGAAAACACCAGATCCTCATCCCAGCAAAGCAGGGCTGCAGGGGATGCTCAGAACCATGGATGGGAGCGGAGGGGGGAGGAGGAGGAGAGGAAGAGAATCCTGGTTTAATTTTATTCCGAATTCAGGTTTCAACCCAGATGCCTCGAGATCTAATTCCGAATAAATAATTGTACTGAGTAACCCAGGTCCCCCAGTGATTAACTAAACACACTGAGGCTCGCTGAAATTGAATTAGTGGTGTGCACTCAGCCGTTATTACCCTCCCCACGTCATGAATATTAATGAGGGGTTATTAAGAAATGTAAATGATGCCTCAGGGGGTTGGGAGCACCGGGGGTGCAGGGCCGTGCGGGCTGATATGACAAACCATTAGGAAAACAGCCTGATTGAAGCCACTTTTTAATTATGTCAGATCTCGCTCTTTGGCGGGTGCAGCCGCGTTTCCGGATGCTTTCGTCTTTATTAAAATGAGAAAAAGGGAACAAGTCAGAGCTGGAATGGGAAATGAGCCTTTGCATGGGGGAAGATCCAGCCACCGAACAGCCTGGCATGTGGGGGTGACTGGGTCCTGCACACCCCACAGGGTCACCCACTGGCTCAGCTCTGGCCAGGGCACCCCCATGCTAACACAGGGGGACATTGGCACCCCCACAGCACCTGCACCCCATCCCTGGACCCCCACAGCCCCCAGCTCCTCACCACAGCCCTGCTGCCTGCAGCCCCTTGCTCGGTTCAGCCTGGCTGGGCAGTGGAGCGGCTGCCACAGGCTCATGCATTTTAACAGGCTCTCACAGGGCTCCCCGCGCCGGAATGGGAGCTGACAGGGCCAGCTGAGTTAATCAGAGTGGATAATGGAGGGAAAGAGAGAAATCTCAGCCCAAATTGCTGCAGAAATCATGAGCCGGGACTCAAAACCATCGAATTAAGCTGGGATGATGCTTAAAGGGGAAGGCAGCAGCTCTCCCAGCCTGCTGTCCCACTGAAGCAGGGAAGGAGAATGGCCACAGTCCTACCACAGTGGGTAGGGGCCAGCAAATATTGAGGAGACCCTGTTCCACTGCAGAGATGTGCCCCTGGCACTGGGACAGACATCGTGGTCCATGCAGCTCTGCCCCATCAGGGGGTTACACACTCAACAAAGCAGGCCAGGGGCTGTCCTTTGGAGGGCACCATCAGATCAGATGCTTTGTTGTGGTGACGGGCCTGGATCTGCTCCACCATGCCAACACTCACTCCCCTCCAAGGAGTATCAAACCTGGGTGTCTGGACAGGGCTGAGCCACCAGCAAGGGGACAATGGGCACGAGATGGAATCGCAGCCCATCCCTGCGAGCCGCCGGCACCGCGGCGGTGTCACCGCAGACAGATGGAGCAGTCTGGGACAGGCACGCACGCAGGATCGTTGGGATTCAGGTCTCTCCGCCCTGATAGCTTCATAACACCAGGCTGCTGCTTAATTGCACCCATAAGTGTTGGAATTACTGAAGGGTAAAATGCAAATGGTGTAACCTTTCCTGAGCTCACCCGGCACTGCTGTGCCGGCTCTGTGCCGAAGGGAGCTGCCTGAATCCCTTACCGCCTCTTAATTGCTCAGAAGCTGCTGGGAGATGCCCTCCCCAGGCCCCAGGAGGGAGAGGATAGACCCCTTATCATAGTTGTCTGCTGGTTCCCCAGAGGTGCTGGGGAAGCCCTGGGAGCTGCCACCTCCCCAGTCTGACCGTGACACCCATTCCAGCCCCACAGTACCGTGACCAGCTGAGCTGAGGCTGTGAAGGTGTAAGCACAGAGCAAAACACAGCCTGTGCCCTCCCTCTCCAGTGGCACCTTCCCACCCTGAAAGCCTGGCACAGCTCCTGGCCAGGATCCCTGCGTGCTTGGTCCTGGGGTCCCGTGGTGCTGGATGCCAGGACACAGCACTGGCTGAGCCCACAGCACAGCAGGAGCTGGAGGGCTCCAGTGCCAGCACAGGAACCCAGCTGTGGTCTCATGGTTAATGAGATTTTCATGAACCTGGGAATCATTTGGTGGGAGGGGTGGGGACAGGCCCGGGTAATTAAAGGTTGCTGACCTGTGAAATCGGGCTGTGAGAAGCAGGCACTGAGCTGAGGGTAGATGGGGGAGGGAAGAGGAAGGTTCAAGGGGAGAGAGTGCCTGTGGTCAGGCTGTCCCTGCTCCTCACCTGTGGCAGTGCCACTCACTGTCCTGGTACAGTTGGAGGCTGCGTGCTGAAGCAGCACCTTATTTATGGCTCTGCTTCCCTGAGATAAACTCCACAAAGTGTGACAATCAAAATTAAAGATTTCTCCAGAAAGGCAGCCTAGGGGAAATCACTTCTGCGGCCAGTGGAGATTTCCCAACGGTGACTTTTAAATTAAAGGAGAAAAAAATTTCTTTAATTTGGCAGCATGCATGGGATGCAGCTCACTGGGCACGTTATTATCCAGCTCAGCAAATGCTCCCAGAATTCACTCGTGCTCCAAATTACCAATCTATCTGTGAGGCTGCACATCCCCACCTGTGCCAGCATCAACCTGCACTGGGGGGCTGCATCCCAGCGGGGACTGGGTGTGCCCTGACACCCCAGAGCTAAGTCCTGGCAGCTGCCCCCTCCCCATACAACCCAGTTTTTCTGTTCGAGCTGGAGCAGCTGCCGCATGTCCGCAGCGCAGGAGCTGCCCAAGGCCATGGGGAACGGTGGCCCAGGGGGTGCAGGCAGCTGTGGCCCTGCCTGCCCTGGCACAGCTCTTCCCCTCCCTCTCCCCCGCCCCTTCAGGATGAAGCAATGAAATTATTTTTCTACTTGAGTAGTTTTCAATTTAGATTAAGAAAAATCTGCGCTCCGTTAGCGACGCCGCAGTAAATCACGCGCGGGCGGCGCGGCGCGGCCGCAGCCCCATCGCTTATCGCCTGCAAACCTTTTTTCACGTTGACAGGCCCTGAGTGTGACATTGAGCAGGGCAGCAGCAGCCTGGCAGGGACACTGCAAAGGGTGGGGGATCCCCACCTGGCACTCTATCTGGGGCAGCACCCAGAGCAGGCAGGCACCCTAGGAAGGATCAGGCTCGCCATCATCCCATCCAATCCCTGCCAGGCCCGGCATGGCTTGACAGCACGCTGGGGGCACACTA